ATATAAACTATATAATAATTAAAATCATAATTCTCAAATCACTTGCCTTCAAATGCTACTTTCACTAATTAGGAAATTAATTGGAATTTTGGAAAATGGGCAATGGGCATTACCAAAAGTCAAATAAATTGGCTTCGTGGGGTTTCACCTAAACCTCACCCAATTTTTTTTAATTACAATTTACTTTTTTTTTTTTTAATAAAATAATTCCATTTTTTATATTCTTATTAATTTACCTTATATATATATATATATATATAGAAAGAGCCTAGCAAAGAGATCATCAGTAAAGATGTCTCCTGTGGGCTCAAAATTTGCTTTTCTTCTATTGTCGGAGCTCCTCCTTTTCAATTTAGGTAAAGTATTTCATGTATCTATATGGTAAATAACTTGAGCGGACTCTAAATCGATATACGTTTATATTTTAGATACAGGAAAAAGCCACCAATTGATAGTAAACTACTATAATGAGACGTGTCCAAGAGCGGAACACATAATCAAACAACAAGTTTTCTCCTTATACAAAAAACATGGAAACTCAGCCATTTCATGGATTAGAAACCTCTTCCATGATTGCATGGTGAAGGTAAGTATATGAAGAACATATAATGAACAAACAAATGTTATTTATATTTTGTAATTGGGTTTTATTTATTTTGTGAAGTACAGTCCTGTGATGCATCTCTTTTGTTGGAGATCAAAGAGGAAGAAGGTGGAACTGTGTCAGAGATGAAGTCGTCAAGGAGCTTTGGGATTAGAAATCTCAAATATGTTAATCAAATCAAACAGCTTCTTGAAAATGAGTGTCCCGACACTGTCTCTTGTGCTGATATTATGGCTCTTGCTGCAAGAGATGCCATTGTCCTGGTATTTTGTTGGCTCTCTTTTAACTTCGTATTAATTTTAATTAATCTCTAGCTAATTGTGATTATGCTGTGATTTGTTGATTAGATAGGGGGATTAGAGATGGAGATGAAAACAGGGAGGAGAGATAGCAGAGAAAGCTATGAAGGAGTAGTGGAAGAGTTCATTCCAAATCATAATGATTCTCTTTCGTTGGTTCTTTCTAGGTTTCAAGATATTGGCATTGATGCTCAAGCTACCGTTGCTCTTTTAGGTTTATTTTCATTTATTTTAATTTTTTAATATTATACTAAGTTTTAATTCGGTTGATTAGAGATATATTTATTTAACATGACACTTGGTTCTATAGGGACTCGCCTCATAGGACAAAGAACTGAGAGCTGAATAGAGAGAGTTCTTTGCCTTAAAGGACGAAAAAAAATTTATACACTCTTAATTCTTTGCCCCCACAAAGTAAATCTCCCTAGATTATATTCTACGTTACCAAATCTCTACCGAATTTGTAATATTTAAATTTTCGTAAATTGTGAATATAAGATTATATTTGGTTTGTTTTTATTACTAAAAATATTAAAATATTGATTAAATTATCAAATTTGTGTATATTTAATTTTTTTTTTAGTTTATTTAATTCTTTTTAGTTGATTGAGCTTAAAATTTATTGGTAGAAATAGACAGAAATGCAGTAAACTTCATTGTAACTTATAAATTTTTTTAAATAGGCTGAGATTTTCAAAATATTTTAAATTTTAAAAATGATTGAAAAGGGTTTTTTTTTTTTTTTTTTAATCTTAATTCCATGTGTTAGGAGCTCACTCAGTGGGTCGGGTCCACTGCGTAAATCTAGTGAACCGGCTCTACCCGACAGTCGATCCGACTTTGGATCCGGATCATGGAGAATATCTAAAAAGAAGGTGCCCGAGCCCGAACCCGGACCCGAAGGCAGTTTTGTACGCAAGAAACGATTTGGAAACTCCGATGGTGCTGGACAACAACTACTATAAGAACGTATTGGGCCAGAAGGCCCTTTTGTTGGTGGACCAACAATTGGGCTTTAGCCCAATAACTCTTCCTTACGTCCAGCAGATGGCCTCCAATAACACTTACTTTCTGGCCCAATTTGCTATGGCTGTGCTCTTGCTGTCAGAGAACGCCCCTCTCACTGACGGAGGAGGAGAAATTAGAAAGGATTGTCGACGTGTCAACAAGTGAACGGCTAGTCTGAAATACAATATGGTCTACATGTTCCTCTTCATGTAATATTACAAACTATATCATTTTATGTACTCTTTCTATGCGTTTGATATTGAATGGATACATAGAGTTGGAAGAATCACCAAGAGTTTCTCCGATCATGGGCATCTATATATTTATGGGTTAAAATGGCTATGGGCCACACGAGTGTTTCAGCCTATAACTCATTTGATTCGAGGTTCGTTTAGGCCTTAAATTTGGTATTTCAATTCTAATTATTGTTGATGCGAGGTGGCCTGCATAAGTGCTTTGGCATATGGCTTGTTTGATACCAAGGTAGGCATTAAATTTGGTATTTCGGTTCTAATCATTATTGATGCGAGGTGGCGTGCATAAGTGCTTTGACACATGGCTTGTTTGATCCCAAGGTCGTCTAGGCCTTCAGCTTGCTATTGCAATCCTAAACCCTTGGGGCGAGTTGGAACGCATAAGTTTTTGGTCCATTGCTCATTTGAGCCGAGGCTCCATGATTTTCTTTTTAATTTCAATTCAATCCAACATTAAGCAATATTACATGGAAGAAAATTAAAAATAATCAAATAAATGATTAAAAAAAAAAAAAAGACAAATAACATATTAATTTTGAGTCTTTTTTTTTTCCTTTTAAAATTTATTTATTCTTTTAATTTATAAGACAATTGGCCGTAAATACCAGAATCCAACAACGGCGTCGTTTCAGACCCCGTGGGTGGAAATGGCCTAAATACACTATCCGCGACTTCCATCTCTTCGTTCCTTTTGTATTTTTCTGGAAGCTTTGGCGGTTCATGTCTTTGGTACATCACTACAACAGGAACTCGTTGCGAAGGCCATCTCTCCGCTTCTGAATTTCAACCATGGAAGAAGATTTCGAGCTCGGTGAAAAAGTCCCGCCAGCCGTCAACCGCATGGTACTCCAGAGCTCCCTTGAAAGTATCGCGATATCATTTCTTTCTTGCTTGTTTGCCGCCTAATCTGAGATCCCTGTTAATGCATCTTATCCTTTATTTTTCTCCAACGAAGTTTTGATTTGGACATGGTTCTGGGGGTTTACTTTGAGGTTAACGTATAATTGTCGATATTTTCTGTTCGATTTCGCTCTTGAGATCTGATTGTCTCTGCAGTCGACTGTGGCAAATAATGTAGTTGGATGTTCCGTTTCTTCTTGTATACACACATTGCTAGGTGATTCCCTTGTATTCTTAGTTTTTAGGTGGAATTTCTCTGTTCTGATTGTGTATAATTCGGAATCAAATATCTATTTTTCTTAAGAATGGTGCTGTTTTTGCAATGTTTTTAGGATGATGCGGATGCATGTGATCATTGTGTTATTTGGAGGTAGGAAATGATTTAAAAAAACTGCACACCTTTTTTGCAAATGGATGGAATTTTATACTATAGGATGATACATGAATTTGTTAATTCGATCCTACATTGCATGACCGAACTTAGAATTGGTGGATGGTTTAATTGTACCTATTCAGTTAATAATAATAATAACAGTCCTGATCAGTTCAGTTTTTCATAATGTTAGAGGATTTTCCGTGCATCTCTGATGTGGTATCCTCAGCATCTTTCGTAGCTAAGAATCAGATTAATGATTAGTTGGAGTACAAGGCTACAATTGATCTCCTTTTCGTGTTTACACATAACTTTGCTTGCATGAGATTGCTGAAGAAACCAGCCAGCTTCCTTTCTGGGGTGGTTCATGAGTTCCTTCTACAATTTTTTTTGTTGTGTATGTTCTGGTTCATGGTGATGAACAGTTAATATTGGCCTTGGTGCACAGGGGAACGTGATTGGAGATGCGGATGGAAGAGGATTCAATCCAGGACTGATTGTGCGGCTCGTAGTCGGCGGGCTGCTCTTGGCTTTTCTTGTTGTGAATTATGCTTTCTACATGTATGCGCAGAAGACCCTCCCACCAAAAAAGAAGAAACCAGTTTCCAAGAAGAAGATGAAGAGGGAGAGATTGAAGCAAGGTATCTCTGCACCTGGCGAGTAATAGTTAGTGCTAGACTTTTCTCTTATGTGCTATATTACTGTGCCTCACTTGGGGGAACTAACATGTTAGTTCCCCCATTTCAGTGATTGAAGAGTAGTTTTGTTTATGTTGTCAAGTTGTTCAGAATCTGAACATTATAACCGGAAGTTCTCAGTCCCTTGTATCCTTGGAGATGAGAAATGATAGTAAGAGAGTAGTTTATATGGTATATTTTTATCCAATGCTGTTTGCCTTGCCTTTCTTGCCAATCCTAACATTTTCTGATCCACATTGGTTACCAGGAATATACACACAATAGATTAAGGAGAAGGGAATAGTTGGTAACTTGGACATGCTCACATCTAACAATATAGTTATAGTTCGATATGTTAGAGTTCTCCTAGTGAAATTTGGTTCGGTTTCTTGTTTGATTCTTTATTTCTTTTTGAGCTCGTAAACGTGTAAATGTGCCTGGTTTAAAGATACAAGAAACAACACAATAATTTTTTAATATTCAAACTGAAGGAAACAAAGCTGGCCCTGGTGGCCAAGAATCTTCAACAAATTCTATACACAAAGGAACAAAATATTATCCACAAATAGGAAATGTCGTCTTATTCTGAAACCTCGTCAGAATATTTTTCCCTTTGAAAACTTAACATCCGAGACTCATCAGCCCCTAATACATTGCAGGTCAGCAGCAAGACGCGGCTGCAAAAGAACATGGAAAGCAGGAGGAAGGTGATATCAGACTCCACGCCCCATGGACTGTTCTGCAGGTGGGATCATGACTAACACGGGACGAGCATTGAACCCTGGGTGAGGCATCCTCCGACGAAGTTCACGACCTTCCTGGCAAAGTGCACAGGTGTGACAGAAGACATGAGTTGCAAAATCACAGACAGATTCACAGTGCTCACGCTGAACTTCGTCTTCAACACAGAGTCCGCAACAGCCACATGACCTATGAAGTGCCTCGCAGTTACCCTGCTCGTCATGAAACAAGGTAATGTATAAACTTTCCTATCAATTGAATTGAATGTCAAGTCATGCATTCATTTGCAGATATTGAGAATCAAGAATGGTAAAGGAGAAGGTTCAACTTGCCTCCAGATTGAACATTCGGCGGATAGCTGTGCGGGTAGGAAATGTAAACCATGGAGCAAGGCAGTTCCAACCAAAGAATGAGGTTCCAATTAAGTAGAGACCAGAATATGACATGCAATGGTTTGCAAAAGTCCCAGGAGTAGACCCAAGTCTCTCTGCGTTGCTTCCATACAGCATACAAGGAGCCACACTTCCAATAAGACCTACAAACACTTATTGTAAGTTACTTTCCCTTATTTTCTCTAATTTCATTTCACTTTCTTCCCTAATTTTACCTCTTCAAGTTGAAGCAAGAAGTAAAACCCTAGTAGTCAGTACAAATCCCTCCCCCTAAAGAAGTTTATAGCAATACCCTCCTATAAATGTGTTGGATTCCTCCAGCCCCTCCTCCCCGTGAAAATAAGGATTCCTTTTCTTATTGTAATCCAGGCCCCATCGAGACCCCAAGGATCAGAATGGGTATTTATTGGAAGATTAAGGATTAGGGAACTTGTTTATTCAAACCAATTAAAAGTGAGAATGGTATTAGAGATCCAAGAATTCTGCATAGCCCAGATCTTATCTGAAACTCTATTTGAAGAAACAACAGAGTACTCCAGCCTAAACAAGTGCTAGCATACTAAGATCATGGTGGATAAGGCACCCTATCTAAAGTAAGAAGAAGAATATTTTGGTTGGAATAAGCTACAAACCCAAAAATCAGGGAAAAAGAATCACGTATTCCCAAAGCCTAACCTTTCAGCAAAAACTCAATTCAAATGAAGAAAACGAATCAGACTTACAAACTTCTATATCGCTACTGCAGAACTCATCGTGGCGACCAAGACAAGCGCAGAGACCAGTTTCCCATTGGGCCCGACCTACCGGCTCTCCCATCACACTACCATGAATCGGCAGCCCATCGGCAGTCCACCCATAATCACAGCCATCGCCGCCGTTCTCTTCCTCCGCATATTTCCGGACAGCAGGCGGCGGAGGTACCGCATCGGCCCTATCCGCCGTGGAGATGCGATGTGTATCCTTCTCATCCGCTTTTTCAACGACCTTGCCGAGAAGTGGGCTTGATTCCTCAAGGTTTTCGCCGTTGGCCATGATGAATTAGCAGAGAAAAGAAGAAACCCAGATCAAAAATTCAAAATCTAATGCGAAGAAATGGAGGAGACAAGGTCAGGAACTTAAATGAAGCTCGATTCTTCCAAATTTTCTTCACGTACGGGAGAAGGAAAACCATGTGTTCGCGGCTCCGCAGCGTTTTATTAGGATGCGAAAGCTTCCACCACTGGTTTTAATTGCACCTTAGCTATTATTAGGCATAAGAAAAAAAAAAAAAAAAAGAAAAAAAAAGGAGCTATTTCGACGGAACCATGGTTGGTTCAGCTCTAAACTGACCGACACAAACTGTCGTTTGGTTATAGGTCTCTGTTTCTCGCATTTGTCGTTTCATTCACACAGCCACCGTTACCGTCGACTACTCAGCCGCCATTTCACTAAAGGGTTTCTAATGCATCAAAAGGAAGATGGTGCATCAACTTCTTCTTCATAAAGGCTAACTTGATCCTCTTCCAAAGGGATTACATATGAGAGTTGTTGACTCCAACTGATCTATATTAAATTTGACCAACTTTTCATCCAACCTATTTTTGTGTTCGTAACATCTCATCTTTGTCTAGTCTTTCATAGATATGCTTTAATTCTCTTCCTCTTTACATAACAAAAGTAGGTCATCGGTTCAAATACAAGTGTAACAACTCAAGTCCGCCACTAGCAGATATTGTCTGTTTTAGTCTGTTACGTAACACGTCTGCTTGAAATAAGTTTTCAATTTTGTAAGGAATGTTCGTAACGTCAATTACCCAATTACAAGAGTAGAGCTCTATCAATTAAACTATATCTTCGAGCCGAGCCAAGTGATATACAATTTTAAGGTTTAAGAATTTATTATACATATAAAGATTAAGAGATACCGTAATTTAACCAATAATAATAATAATAATAATGTTGTGTATAATTAAAAATGCACAAACCCCAAACATACACACAAAAGATTCATGCAGTCATGTTCTGTACAGAACTATACTTCAAAAAGATGATGAAATTTATATCTGAAGTTCACTAAATCTGATTTTATTTGTAAACGTTGAAATAAATGCTTCCAAATCTTCAATTATGCACCCACCTTGCTTCCCTGCACAAATAAACAGGATAATTAGGAAACTATAAAATAAAAAAGGGTTTATCTTTATTTTATTTTATATATTATGAAATGTAAAATAAATATCCACTAATTTAACCAAAAAAAAAAAAAAAAATCAAAGAAATTAATCTAAGATTACAGCTTATAATTGATTTGCATAATTCAGCGAGTAAGTTTGGTTAAGTTCTTCGTAAGCTACGTGCTAATATATAAATAAATAAATGATTACCCAATACACTAAAAATAAACAAATTCTTTACCCACCAATAATANAAAAAAAAAAAAAAAAAAAAAAAAAAAAAAAAAAAAAAAAAAAAAAACAAACAAACCTCAATTTTATTTTTTATTTTTTAAATATTTATTATGGAAGTAAATAGAACTAAAATAACCCTTTTATTTATGTTTGGAAGTAAACGAACTTCTACACTATTTTTTAAAACGCAAGAAAAATAAAAACATATAAACAATTTAAATAAAAATTATGTAAAAAAAAAAAAAAAAAATACTCGAAGCTAGAGATGTTTATTTCAATTAAAAAGCTCTAAACTTAGGGGGAATGGAGAGGGAGCGGAAAGAGACTTTTTTCCATGAGCTAAATAGGGTCGGGTCGGGAATTTACATGGAGAATCTTTATATCAACAAATTTTGAAGGTTCTCCATCTCAATTTTCATAAAAATAAATGAAATAAGAGGCAGAGATAACCCTACTTGTTCCATGAACATCGAACTATTTACTCTAGCCAGAGAAACAAAACCCTAACTCGTACATCACTTCGAAAGAATGATATTGATGGTCACAAACAAAATTGGAAAAAGAAAAAAAGATTGATAAGTAATAAAATGACCTTGAGTGGGTATGGAGGAGGGTGGAGAGGGTGGTGATGATGAACAATCCATGGCCTTCCATGGGAGGGATGGGGAGGAGAAATATGAGAGGAGTGAGTCTCTGGTCCTCTGTAATCTATTTCATAAACCTGTGAAGAACCCAATCCCCCATTTTCAGATCCACCTACAAATACAAATCAATTAACAAATGAATTAACCATTATATTCCTGTAACACCCATCATACACAAATTGCACACACACCTTCAGAAGAAGAACAACAACAGAATGAAGGGGTAAGCAGAAGGAAGAGGAAGAACACAGTGGTGGTAAAGCTCATTTCCATGGCGGAAGATGGAGAACAAGAAGAAGCAGTGATGAAGAGAGGAGAAATGGGAATATTATTTTGTGATTATTGCATGTATTTCTTTTCAGCTTTTGGACATTCAAACCGTCACCATCCTTACAGCAATAAGTTGCGAGGTAACTGATGTCGATATGTTGGGTTGGAACATTTATTTCCCTCTAAATTAACTCCAATATATAGGTTTTATTTTAATTATGAATAATACCAATTGTCATGATCGTACTTTATTGTACTTCGGTAAAAATCGAATTTTAGAGATAATCTTAAGATATGATCGAGTCTCAACTCACATTTGAGAGAAAATGTTTTGTAAAACGTGATCGAAAAAATGGGTAGAAATAAAATTTAAAAAATGTGTGGTATTTTATTTTGTAATGGTAGGGTTTCATAAATGTGAGTCCATAAATGTTAGCGCTCGTGAGATTAGTCTACCTGTAATTTAAGATAATTGAATTGGTGTACCAAATATAAGCTGGATTTGTTTGCCCCAAAATGTGAACCATATTTATGTGAGAAGAGTAATGTGGGCAAGTGCATGTGTGCATATAAATTGTAATGTCCTAACATTATACTTTCTACCTACCTTTCTTTTAATTCTTGGAAATTAATTTGTTAAAAATTAATTCATACAAAATATTATATCCATTATCAATATTTTATCATTTATCCTATCAAACTAGAAGTATAAAGTTTATAAATAATAAATCAACTAAATAAACTTGGAAAAAATAAAAATTATTTTTATTTATTATTTTTTAGTATAATAAGTAACGTCAATTTTTTTAAAATAAAATATGTTAAACCATACTTAATTGTGATTATTTTAAATTAAGTATTTTTTTTATAATTTAACCTTAAAAAGATATCGCACCTAATTAATATTAATCTTAGAATTTAAATGCCATGTAAGATAGACACGTAGGTGGCTTATATGGACAGCCAATCAAACAGGTATACGTGTTCAACAGCTGGACGGTATGCTATTTATTTTCTGCATTTAAGCCTGGATCTACCTGCTTCCTTCAGATATATATATTGAATGTAATTTAGTACTTTTTTTTGTATTGTATCATTTAAAATTGTCAATAAATTTGTTGTTAAATTTAGGGCAATAGTGGCGTTCGAGTGACTTCCAAACTAGTTAAGGTGTTAACATACAAAGGAGATTTTATATTGATGTGGTGTTCGATCGCGTGTACTCTAAAACTTAAGTTAGCATTTATTTTGAATTAGTGTTGAAATGAGCTGGAATGATATTTGTACCTTTTGAAAGGAGTGATCTCCACCCTTTATAGAAAAGTGGTTATCAAGCATTGTCTTGACAATTATGACGACTTGTACGTGGGGGTAAGCAAATTGTGCGCCAATAGCAATCATACACTCATGTCTACCACATGGTCAAACTTGTGCTTATTAACGAGTGCCTTGTTGTTGTCAAGGACTTTAGCTTGGACATGTTCTCTTCGACCATTAGACCACATGATTAGGGGTGTGCATTGAACTCAAAAGCTTGAGATCTCGAACTGACTCAACCTAAATTGTATGGGTTGGGTTAAATAGAATTTTGAGTCGGGATGAGTTGGTTTTTTAGGACTCAATTTGATTCTAGTTGGGTACAGGTTCAGTGTACAAAGAATTAAGTCAACTCAGCCAACCTGATTGTATTAAAAAAAGAGAGAGAAGAGAGCGAGTTGTCAAGCCCAACCCGCCTTCTTTTTCCTTGACCCACTACCCAGCGTTGCAGTATAATTATATGAGCCCAACCCAATTACTCCAGTTTCCTTCTACCTTTGGACTCACCCTTTAACGAAGTTGAAAACGTAAGTATCAAATTTAATGTCTTAAATTGGAATTTTAGCTACAATTTTGATAGATTATATATCCAATACCATATCTTTAATATTCAACACTTGATAGCCTCGACATTCTTCTCGCTTCAACAAACGAATACTATCCTCATAAACCAACATAGTCATGTTTTCACACATTTCTTTTAAATCTTCATATTCTCACATCGGTTCTAATTTAAGTTTATTTATTTATTTATTATTATTATTATTATTTTTGCTATGATCTCCATGGTTTCTATGCATACCTTAACCACTATTCTTTTCGACTCCAATCTATCTTGCCTTCAATCCATTTTTAATGGGTAGCATGTTCATAATTAAGAGGATGGTGTAATATGCATATGCTAGTCGAGTAGCCTAACTTCTATTAGGTGCAAGAATTTAAACTTTGGACTAAAAATAAACCTCTAATTAGCAATTTCTATTTAAATTAAATAGTAAATGCACGGTTACCTTGCGTCTTCAGCCATGGAGGAAAGAACAAAGCTGGAAGACATTTAGTCATTTGAATCCTTCGCATCCATTGCCGACCTTTCTTCTTCCCCAAGATTCAATTATCCGTAAAGTTTCTCCCTAATTCTGCCAGGTTCCGATTTGCATCTCGTTAGAATCAGGCTCCGATTCGACATTGAGTTTTCCTCGATTTTGCTCTCTTTGTTATTTACAGAGCTTCGATCTTCTTCTCCGTTTGAATTTTCGAGTTTTTTGAACATTCGCTCCGAATTTCGGGACTCAATTTTGGATGCCGCTCTGTTTCCATTCCCTCCTTTTCCTTCTTCTTCAGTTCTGTCGCTCCTAATCAGATTGCCGTAAAATGACGACCGATGAGGTGCAGATCTACACCGCGTCAGGATGAGAGCGTTTTTCGGCGGCGATGGAGCCGATGACGCAAAAACCGCATCTCTGGCTGCTCCCTCACTCTCTTCATTTTGCTCCGAATCTTCCGCTTCGTCTCGGACGCGAGATTCAGTGATCGATGATTTTCGTCTAATTTCAGGCTTTCCTTGGAAGAACATCGTTGACCTGTTCCAGAAGGTTCGACAATGGCGTCGATTGAAAGAGAGAACGCTTCTAATCCATCGGCATCGCTTGGCGGGAGGTCTAGAGGAACGTTTATTGGTACGGACTTGGCCCATACAAGTAACCTTCGGAGAGGACGGCTCTTGAGTTTCAATGGTGACGTTCTTCTTCCTGATGAAGATCGGACTGGAGCGAGACCGGCCGCTTTTACTCCGATTTCCGGCATCGGCCCTCAGAAAGCTCATCAATGGCGGCGGAAACAGGTCGATCCGACTGGGACTGGAAATCGGTTTCACCGATTGCTTCATTGCAGTGATGAAAACTGAAACACGGATTGAGTGAGTGGTTTGGTTACGTCTCGTCTCGTCTCGTCTCGTCTCCACCTCCACTACTAAGAATCTGTGCAGCAGATTGGCCGCTCTGGTTTCATGTCACAGAGCTATCTGTTTATCCCCTTCGAGTTTGTTTTCTTTCTATTTTGGAAATTGGCATTTGGTGCTTTTGCATTCCAAATTTTCTCCTCTTTTTTTTCTTTTCTTCTGAAATTATTTGTAAATTCTAACAATCACAGAATATTTGTTGCTATAATATCAATCATAATTTATTACATTTTTTTTCTTTTAAATAAAATATATTCATAGTTTGTTTGATATTTTACTTGGACTCAATTTTCTTAATTTGGTGGATTTCTTTTTCCTTACATAATATCTTCAACCGACATACTAAATATATATTAAAAAACATTAACATACGAAATACAACTATATCAATAACTCAACCATAGCTAGCCTGCTTTTCAAGTATATATATTCCACTTCTACAAATTTAAATTCTTTCTTTCTTTTTAACTAAAAAAAAACCTTCAATAAATATCTTTCGATAGGCACGATATGTTTAGAGACAAAAACGAAAACCTAATTAGTGAAATTATTTTATAGTGTTTTTTAATTAAACATGTGTACGAACATAATTTTTAAAAATTTAAAATTTAATATTACACCGTATCCTTTAATAATTAAAAACCATCCATGTAATTAAGGGTCTCAAAACTAATTAATTTTTTTTAATATAGAAAAAAAAACATATATATATTTATTAACTTAGGGCAGACACACTATATGGTATATAATGCCTGGATCAATCTCTCTCTCTTCACTATAATAATGTTGGCTACTTTTTTGAAGGATTTGACATGAAGATTTGGAGGGCTTGTTTGGATTCAAATCAATTCCAATATCTTTCATTTCATAAATTTTTTTTTACTAGCAAACCCATTCCTTTTTATGATACTGAATTGGACAAAACCAAGAAAATCAAGAAACAAATGTATTAGTCGAGCAAAAGTAGAGAGAACGAATTCGAACCCCTTGATAATTCTTTGTTTCAGAGAAAAAAAAAAAAAAAAATCTAATAACCTAAAACTCCCATCATCCAACTCCAAACTGAGTTGAATTTAAATTAATTGTTCTCTCTCCTAGGGTTGAATCAAATCAATCTAAATGTTACAAAAAAAATATATATATATATATAAGCATATATTTATACATTTTAATTTTTATTAAAAATAAAAATTTGAATAGAGTATCGGAACAACTCCGAACTAACTATTTTTTTTTATAAATATTTAAAAACATATTTTGAAAAAAAAAATGTAGTTTTAAAATTTGTTGTATTAAAAAAACACCCAAATATAAACAACAAATTGAATCTTAGTTTTCATAATTTTCCTATTTTTCTTGAAAAAATCATCATATTGGGCTCGGAATAAAGTACGAGCTCCGGCCCAACTCATTAGGTGGGTCAAGGTCAACCCGGAAGGTTTGGCCCAATTTCTTTTATGAGTTCTCAATTTATTAAAAGAAATAAGAGAGAATTGTTTAATTTTTTTTTCTTTTATTTTGAAATTTGCTAAAACACATTCAAATATTTTTTAAATACAATAAATTTCAAACAAGTAATTATTCAATTTTTGTTTATTTTCTCAGTATTTTAATTTTATTTCGTTAATTTTTTTTCCAACATAACTAAGTTAAATCTCTATAAAAATGAGCAAAATGGAAAAAATAAGAACAAATAAATAATATATAAATATAAAAAGAATGAAGTGAAATAAATAAAAATAAAGAAGGAATATATATATATATATATGTATATGTATATTGTAAATCCAAATAAGTTGGCGGCACGTTGGAAAAGCGCGTGTAGTGGCGGCACAATAATTAATGGCCACGTGGCTCTTTGCCAATTGTCAACTGCCAGCTAATTTACTCTTAATCCGCTTCTCAATTTCCAAACCAATCGCTCTAAACTTGATTACATCTGTTTATTTATTTATTTGCTTTTCTCATGCCCTCTTTTGTCTTTTCACTGTCCCTTTCTCTTTTCGACCGACTCTATATCTCAACCAATTATATATAATTAAAATATAAATTTAGTGGTAAATTTTTTAGATGAGTTATATATAATTTAAGTTTTATTTTATCTTAAAATGTGGATAAATTAGACATAAATTTAAAATTTAGGAAGAAAACTCGAAATTTAACTTATATAAATCTTATTTGGACTCCGTTCTATTTTAAGTTTTTGTTCATTTTAATTCCTACCTACTCCTTCATCAATATTACTTTTTATTCAATTTTTTAAAAAAGAATATTGATTATAGTAGTGTAAAAATAAAATCAAAATAATCCATGTTTTTAATTACGGAAAAATGGAATATATAGATTAAAATAAATATTTTAATATATCGTGAACTTTAAATCTTTATATTTAACTCATAATAGCGGATTTTATTTTTTTTATTTTTTTATGTAATATTGGGTCACTATTATCGATAATGAAAGAAAGAAAAAATAAATGGATAAGCTGTAAATAAATGTTTGATTATGAATGGACAATTAATAATTTTCTTTTATGAAATCATATTGCTTTTCCAAGATTTCCATAATTTTCTCCTTTCCAAATTCGCATCCGATTTCAAAACCTTATTTAATGTCACACTAAAATATTATTTTAAAATTTAAATAAAAAATAAAAAGCTTGATATTATTTAACTTAGTAAATTTTTATTTAAAGATATATTTTAGACTCTAAATATTAAGTTTGCAATTTTTAAACAATAAACTTTGCATTTTTATTCTTAATAATTAAAACCAATAAAAAAACAAATTATTTATTACCTCAGCCGTTAGGAAGGTCTGACTGACAGAAGAGAAAAGACGAGAGAAAAGCTGTGAAGAAGAAGAAGAAGAGCAGGAAGCGATTTTCTTTTCAGTAAATGGGAAATCAAAGCAAAAAGTAGTGGGGCCGTCTGATTAGAGCACAGCCCAGCTAGTTTCTCTTCGTATTCTCTCCCATATCATTGAGCCCTTCTTGGCGAGATCTGATTACTGCTTTTCCTTTCTCTTCCCCTTTAGAAAAGCCACACGGAGAGAGAGACAAACCCACAAGCGGACGCCAAATCGCATTCACAGGGCTCCCTCAGTTCGTCCTCCCCAATCCTTCACCCCCAACCCTTTTTGTTTTCTTTAGCTCAGAAAGCTAAGGAAATGGAACCTCACTGATTTGAAGTGAAGACTGAAGAAACCAAGCCCCTTCAGATCTGAATCTTCTCATTTCAGGTTCTTTTCCTTTTCTGCTGCTTTGTTCATTCAAATTTTGTATTGGGGTTGTGGTTTAGTTCGTAATTTCACTTGGGTATTCTTTCGATTCAGTAATCATCTCTTTGTTTAATCTTTTGTAATGGTAATGGGGTTGTCATTTTTATCCCAATTCTGCAATGTTTTGGTTGGGAGCTGTCATAAATTATATGTTTCTTCTGTATTGTGTAGCTTTTTTCTGCTAAAAGAGGGAAGAGAAGGTGAGATCTGAAGACTTGAGTTCCTTCAATTCTAACTTATGAAGTTATTTGGCCTACAACACAGGACCCCCCTCCTCCCTCAACTGCATTGTTCACAGGATACTTGTATTGTATTTATGCAAAAGTAACTTTATCATATCAGTGGCCATAAGTGAGACTGATATATTTTACTTGTGCCCATCAGGGGTTTAGGCATAGGAATGATAAGGAGATGGGAAAGAAAGGAACTTGGTTTTCTTCTGTAAAGAAAGCTCTCAGTCCAGATCCCAAACACAAGGAAATTCAGGTATGAAGGTTACTTCATCCTAATTGAGATTTGATTTCGACTTTGTTAGGTTGGCGAGTATGTGTAACAGCCAACCGTCAGCAGATATTATCCTCTTTGGGCTTTTCTTTCCGGACTTTTCCATCAAGGTTTTAAAACGCGTATGCTAAGGAGAGGTTTCTACACCCTTATGAAGAATGCTTTGGGGCCTAACATCCTCACTGACACTCGTTCGCCTTCCTTGTTAGGAACGAAACATTCCTTATAAGGGCATGAAAAACCTCTTTTTAGTAGACGCGTTTAAAAACTGTGGGACTGACACGATACGTAACAGACCAAAGTTGACAATATATGCTAGCGGTAGGCTTGAGTTGTTACAAATGGTATCAAAGCCAATTACTGTACGGTGCGAGGCACTGGTTGGAGTAGGGCCAGACCCGTTTTAAAAACCTTGAGGGAAAGTCCGAAAAGAAAAGTCTAAAGAGATGGCATGTTACAGTAGGGCTCTGATTTCTTATTAGAATGAAAAGATGTTCTTTGAGTGCTGATATTATTGCAACTGTCTGTGCAGAATTCTAAGGAGTCAAAGAAGAAATGGTTTGGAAAGCAAAAGCATCCCAATTCAGATTCTACAGAGGCTGTGAGAGTGCCATCACCACCTCAGCTAGCAGAGGCGAATATCATCCATTCAGAGAGTGAAGAAAACAAGGAGCCTTGCTACGATGAAGTTTCTTCTGCAGCTACTCAGGCTTATGAGGCTAATGTTTCTACTACTATTGAGCCAAATGTTGCTACTCCTTTTGCTGCAGCCCAAGTTGTGCAACTCTCTACACAAACTCATATTTCCAGCCCACCTAAGGAGGAAGTTGCAGCAATCAAGATCCAAACTGTATTCCGTGGATACCTGGTAATAGTTCCTTATAATAGTCTTGCTCTTGAAATCTCTCTGAATCTTGTGTGAGGAATGATCGTAGAGGTGAAGAACGAAGCATCCTTTATAAGGGTGTGGAAACATCTCCCTAGGAGATTCGTTTTAAAAACCTTGAGAGTAAGCTCGAAAGGGAAAGTTCAAATAGGGCAATATCTGCTACCAAAGGACTTGGACCTTGGACTGTTACAATCACATACCGACAAATGTCTTATAGTTTTATTGTTTTACTTCAGGCAAGAAGGGCGTTACGAGCATTACGAGGACTGGTGAGGCTGAAATCACTGATGGAGAGTTCTACTGTGAAACGCCAAGCGTCGAATACCCTTCGTTGCATGCAGACTCTTGCTCGCGTTCAATCTCAGATCCATTTTAGGAGAGTTAGAATGTTGGAGGAGAATCAGGCTCTCCAGAAACAACTCCTTCAAAAACATGCAAAAGATCTTGAAAGCTTGCGGGTCTCTTTCATTACCATTCTTTTATTTGTTTCATTCTCACAACATGTATCCCAAAATGTCATCTTTTGAGCATAATATCTATAAACTCAACATATGATAGTAGCTTCTTAAGCCCCTTGTTAATGATTATACGGCAGATTGGAGAGGAATGGGATGACAGTTTACAATCAAAGGAGCAGATTGAAGCTGGTCTACTGAGCAAATATGAGGCTGCAACGAGAAGGGAGAGGGCCCTGGCATATGCCTTCACTCATCAGGTGACATATTCTAAAATCCTTATCCATGGATAATGATAAGGGTATCGAGTTTTTGATGAATAAAATTCTAAGTTATCTGTCTACAGCAAACCTGGAAGAATTCTGCAAGATCTGTAAATCCAGCATTCATGGATCCAACTAATCCCACCTGGGGTTGGAGCTGGTTGGAACGATGGAGCGGGGCTCAGGTGCATGATGCTCCTGACCTGACGAGAAAAGAGTCGAATAACAGTCGCTCTGGTCGGACGACAAGTCGTGACATTGTTGGCGGAGAAATCAGCAAATCATTTGCCCGCTTTCAGTTGAACTCAGAGATGGATTCCCCAACAGGCAGTCATAAGACAACGCACTCTGCTTTCAAGCCTTCCACAACTCCTTCCAAGCGAGCTTCATCTTCTGCATCAAAAAAACTGAAGCCTCCAAGCCCAAGAATCCTCTCCATTCATGACGACGACTCGAGAAGTACTGTCAGTGTGCAGTCTGAAAGATTAAGAAGGCATAGCACGGGAGGAGGACCTTCGGTGAGGGACGATGATAACATGTCGATCACGAGCGCTGTTCGGAGTTACATGACACCTACTGAATCTGCAAAAGCAAAATCCAGATTGCAGAGTCCAATGGGAGTAGAGAAGAATGTAACAACTCCAGAGAAAGGGTCTTCAGCAACAGCAAAGAAACGGCTATCTTACCCTCCTTCACCAGCCAGGCCAAGGCGGCATTCCGGTCCGCCTAAGATCGAAGGCGACCCGGATGCAGGGAAGAGCCTCAGCAATGGAGTTGGAATGATTTGAACTGCAGAAAGGCAAAGAGTGAAGAAGATTGGTTAAATCTGTTAACCTCTTACAATTTAATTCAAAAAGTTTTCCACACACACCACCTATCATTTGAATTGATACATGAAATGGTATTTATTCATTATAGATGTGTTTAAATATGTTGTGGGCATCTGTTAAAATCTTGAGTTTGATACCCAGAAAACCACAGGACAAGGACAAGGCAAGGATATGTTGTGGGTCACTGCTATTTGCATCTTCTTTGTCATTATTTTCTCCATAAACTACCGAATCATTATCATACTGAATCATTATCATTTATCAGCTATTATTGTTATTATTAGTAAAGACGATCAAGTAGTTCGTTGAGGTGTATTCGAGCTCACCTGCAACATAGAATCTTGCACCAAAGATGTCTACCCAACACACTTTAATACTTAAGTTAGCACTGAGTTGAATAGTCTCGAGCTAAACATAGTAGGATGACATGTCAAGTGAATTTTCCAATCTATTTGGTTAATTGGTAGACATGTTCCCTCGTCAAGGGGCTCAACCACCTTATCAGTTGATTTTCTTTTGTCTTATCGTATCTCTAGTAAACAAACTTCGAGTTGTTGCTGCTGCTGATTCTTCGAACATTTTCGGTTGGATTCTAATGGGGCTTTGAGTAGTCGTCTCTCTCCTTAGCTTGAACTTGAAGTCTCGAGATTCCATTGCTTCCCTGGGTCTTGAACTCGAGTGCGTAATCTCAACGGCAAAAAAAAAAAAAAAAAAAAAAAAAAAAATCTTTATTCTATGTTTTTTAGTAATTTAGAATTGAAATATTTTCAAACTTTTTCTATTTTTATTTTTACTTTTTGTTTGAAATACAATTTACAATATAATAAAAAAAAATATAAGATCAACTTAATTGCAGACACCACTTAAAAAATTAGAATTAAAATATTTTTAAAAAAATACACACTTAAAATTTAATAAAGAATTAGAAGCGAAATATTTTCAACCTTTTTTTTTAAAGAACCATATAAATTTAAAGTTAATTTTTTAATTAAAAAAAATATCTTAAATGGAACTTGCCGACCAAGAAATTCCGAAAATAGGATGAGCTAAATATGCGTTAATATATAAAATTTGTAGGTTTTATAAAATATAGTATTACTTTTCATATTTCGGGACTTTTCTCGGCCCTGATCAAATTCGTGTTCCAGAAAACCCTAGAATCCAATTTTGGAGGAAAGCCAAGACCCATAGCCATTGAATGACATTTTTCCTTCCGTCGAGCTTGAGCGTTCTTCATTGATGGTGAGTCTTCGATCATTCTTCGTTTTCTTTTATGTTGTGTCCATGCGGCTCTGGGACTTTCCTCATCTTTTTATCTTTTCTTTTTTGCTTTCTTGTTGGTTGCTTGTATGTTTTTGTTCGAGAACTTGAAACTGCTGATTCTTTTCGAATTTAAGGCTGCGGTATTGCATTATGTATCTGTTAGTTTGCGGGGTGTGTTTGTTTTATGAGAAAATTGGAAACATTTCGGTCTAAAAACTGTATTTTGATACTCAAATCCATTTATTTCCCCAGCTAGCAAATTTTGAGTTCAATATTGTTCATTCTGATTGAATGGGATTTTGCCACTTACTTACTAGGGCTTCTGCTGCCTAAATCTTGTGGAGTAGATTCCATCGTTTCCTATTCTTGTTTAATCGTTCGGAGGATTTTTGAACTTCCTATGTTACAGAACACTGATTTTCGCCGCTTCTGTTCTATTGGCAACTACTCTAATATTTTGTGTGTGTGTGTGTGTGTGAATCATTGTAGGCTACACCATTGATTACAGGAATTGCTGTTGCTGCAGCAGCTTACGCTGGTAGATATGGTCTTCAGGCTTGGCAGGCATTCAAGGCGAGGCCGCCAACAGCACGACTGCGCAAGTTCTATGAAGGTGGCTTTCAGCCTACAATGACAAGGAGGGAGGCAGCTTTAATTCTTGGAGTTAGGTATTTACTGAGTCTTATATGAGACAATCAAACTCCTGCCCCTCATAGCTCCATTAGTTTTCCTCCTATTTTTGTTTTCATCTTCTTGGCTGTGTTTAAATGTTAAACCCCTTTTGAAGATAGAATATCTGTGCGCGCGCGTGCTTTAGAGTTATCATTCATCATAATGATCTGCGTACTCTCCCTATTGCGTCTACCCTGTGCCTGCCCGTGTCTAAGATTTTATTTTCATTTATATTGTCAGGGAGAGCACTCCAACAGAAAAGGTGAAAGAAGCGCACAGGAAGGTGATGGTTGCAAATCATCCAGATGCCGGTGGCAGCCATTATCTTGCTTCCAAGATCAATGAGGCCAAAGACATCCTGCTTGGGAAAACCAGAGGAAGCAATTCTGCATTCTGATGGTCGTTGCTGCCAGTTATTTGTTCACTTAGCAAGCATATCTCAACAAAACGCCGAGGACCGCCAATTTTCTTGCTTACCTGGTGTGCCAAAATTTTTACATTAATTAAATTTACTTATGTCTGATCGATTCCTAGAGATCTCATATGTATACTTCCTACTCTGGATTTATTGAAAACAATGAGAAATCCTGTTAGTTTGACTGTGATTACTTGCTCTTTAGCAATAATGTATTATGGATAAGCTTCTTCCTATAAATTCTGGGAACTTCTGTGTTCTTACTTGCATTAGCACCCACTATTGAACCCTCTGCTGAACAATCCAGGTTTCTGAGAAACTTAGATCCCATTTCATGCTGCATATTAGGTTTAATAAGGACATGAAGAAAGGGGATGGGATATTTTAATCTTATCACCCATAAGGTAGATTGCACAAGGTTAAGTTAAACTTATCCTACAAAATTTCAGTATTAGCCAAGTAAGTTTATGTTAACGCTTCTTTTGAAGTATAAACTCAACAAAAGCTAATAGCAACTAGCTCTATAGAGTTCCAGCTTCTCTTGTAAACTAAACAAACCTACCTAACTTTGGAGGAAGATCGGTTATTTGTGGCGAAGTCCAGGCGAGTTTAGTGAAATCTGATAAATCAATCCTTGTCTGATCCCCCCTGGGAGGGTCCCTGAAGGTTCTAAATTTAATGAGAGGAGACAAGTGGATAAGCATTGCCCTTAAATGATTTTGACAGAGAGATCCAATCTGATTTTGTGCTCCAAATGAGTTGCCTTTTCAGTTTGTTCACTTTATCATGTGTTTGTACTAAGAACCACCTCCATCCCATTCCCTCACAAATGAAGAAAATTTTCTTTTTCGAATAATTTGTCGCACCATTTTGAGACTGAGTCTACCTATTAAAGTGATGGTTCATCCTGTATTATGTATTATGTGGTTCGTTTGCAAATGAGGTTTAATAGAAAATTGGCTCGAAGTCCAAGACTAATAAAGCTCAAGTCCAATAGGTCAGGTCCATAGTCGATTAACCTCATGCTCACACTCTTCATTTTGGAAGGGAGGAAAAATAGGAAACCGGACGACATTTCAGTGCACTTAAAAGACTTCTATAAAGTTCGAGTACTCAAAAGACTCTTTATAACTTGAAGATCAAAATCCCTTCGAAGATCAAAGGCGCTTTGAAGACTAGAAAACTTCAAGACATGGCATGAAGTCAAGAGTCGATCTAATTACAAAATCAACAAACTGAAGTATACTTGAGAATAAATGCTCCAACCCTAGAGACAAATTTACACTCGAGACCAAGCTATAAAGTCCTTTTCGAGAGAGGAAGAACAAGGAAACAAATTAATATAAAATCAAGTTCATTACATCGTGAGAACAATCTAATTAGAAATTCTTAAATGAAAAAATCTTTCCTACTTTCAAATCAAATTCATAATAAATAAGAGGGCCAATGGCATGTCAAGTCCTCGGTTTAATTACAAAGTGACTTGTCCCCAACTAATAGCCAAGTTGGTTTGCTTTGGTTTTGGTTTGATGTTCCAAGATAGGGCCATCAATGCAAGCTTACCCTTTTCTAAGTCTACTCCATTATTTCTTTACTCTATTGCCTCCCTTCCAAGCAAAGCTACACGAGAGAAAGAAAAAGGTGGCTATGCCTAAATTTTGAATCTTGGGTGATATCATTTATTATTATCCACCCATCCATAAGCTATCCATCCATTGAATCCAATACTAAGAATTCTATGCTACAAATTTGCATTACTTAATACAACTTACATTCTTACAACTTTGCAAAAGCAAGACAAATGGGTAATCTTTTTTGGTTCTTTTAAGAAAAAAATCCAAACTTTAAGGTTCAATTGACTTTTTGATTGTGGTAGACAAATGGGTTTTCATATGAAATTTGAGTGAATTTCTTGTCCAAGAATATTTTTTACTTTTAAAGAGAAAAAGGGGATTTTTGAATGTTTTTACTCTCTATTTTTGTTTTTACGATGGCTATCACAATTGCCTACGACTATGACACGAGAAAAAGGGTAACAGAGTTGTTTCAAGAATCTCAATCATTCGAAACCCAAGTGGTTGAATGATGAATAAGATCAGATTTCATTTCAGAGAGGCGCTGTTTTCACATGGGATGAAGTGTTGGATAAGAATGGTGAAAGAAAAATGATATGTTGTGTGTTCATACGGGGGCAGCATAAAGGGTAATTAGGCATTTCCATGTATAGAGAGGAGCTGTGAAGGTGGTCCTCCTGTTCTGTTCATGGAGAAGGTTATCCCTGAGATCCAACCAATCACGGGTCCTTTTCATCACATGGATACCCACATGTTAGTCGAGGCAAAGGCAATTGCTTTGAAAAAAATTTGAGCGGTGACCCATAATCAAAGCTCTCACACAGTTTCTCCATATCAATCGCTGAAGTAAAGCCAAAGTTGTTGGAATCTGATGGCTGAGTTCTACCTTCCAAGTCAAAAACAGAGGTGGGGGAAGCGGAAAAACAAGCGCAGAGTAAGTGATCCTACCGCATCACGTTACTTTTCTAGCTTCGTCTGACTTCCTGCGTTGCGGCACATAAAACAAAACTTTTTTCTCTGAGGACAAACTTCAAACACCTGGTGGGCATGGCTCATTTCCGCGAAATCTTCTTCCACCATACCCCGTTTTGGTAGTGGTTGAAAACCCAATGAGCAATTTTGTAGCTGACATTTCTGCTTGTAAGATTTGACAGTGGGCAGTGATTTCCCTCACGGGCTTTAACGCCATCGCCAACACTGTAAAGTTATATACTACTGGCTACAATGAGATAGAGAGAAAGAGAATCATTGCATACCAGGTTGTTTCTCCAAGCAATTTGGGTAAGGAAGTTGTTAAGAATGCTTGGTTTTTGTGCTACTTTTCTATCTTGAAAATTACTGATCGTTTGAGTTGAAAGTTCTTGTTCTTTGATTTGTATGAGTGAGGCAAACTCTGCTTGTGATTCCTCATCTGGGTTTTTGGTTTCTGTTCTTTTGTTTGTTCATACGATTGTTAGCTGCTGTCCCATGACAACAATATCTGATCTACTATGTTTCAGTACAAATGTTCCATGATATTGTTCACTGTTTCTCAAATAAACAAACAAACAGGTTAGCTCAGGGAGAGGGAGAGCACTGTTAAAGCAACGAAGTGAAAAAGGTGAAGAAAAGAGATTTGAGAGAAAGCATCACCATATACCTTTTCTTTTGGTTTACGTATATATTTCCTTACCAAAGTGGGTTTGTTTGGTAGAAGTGGAGGTGGTTTCTGAGGAGTTTCTTTGAAGGGACATTGTTTCTGTTGATTTTATATAGTATTTTACTTGTTTTATGTTTGATTTTTAATGAAACAATCCTTTGATTCTTTGAACTGAAGCAGTTGTTGTGGGTCAGAGAGGTTCGAAGGGGAATACCAACTGTTCATTAAACCTGCTTTTATTCTTCAGCAGGAACTGCAAAATATGCAGACCTCAAAGCCTAAGTAAGATTCTCAGTTTTTCATGTTCTTGTTCTTCTTTTAACTTCCTGTTCAGATCATCTTCAAACTCATATTGGGATCGTTTTCGTTTTCGTTTTCGGTTTCCTTCTTTGATCTTGAATATACTCCACGGGTCATCCATGGCTGTGGTGTTCATTGTTCTTCTTCTGTTGTGAGTGCAGAAATTTAGAAGCTCCGCTGAGAAAACCTCGACCCACTCGACAACTTAAAGCGCTTGGTTCGGATTCTGTTTCGGCTCCGGCTTCGGCTTTGGGTTCTCCGCTCCCTCCGAGTAAAATGACGAAGGAAAGAAGTCCTAGAATTGTTACAAAGTCAGTTCAAAGCTCAGTACTTGAGGTATTTCTCCCCAATCATGGTTCAAATCAATTTTATGTCTTCTAGAATAGAACTCAGTGAAAACATGAGGCAATTTGACATGATTTTTCATTGTTTGTATATCTTTGAACTCCAGAAAAAACGCCCAAATCGAGTTTCTACAGTGGAATCACAGATTGCTCAACTTCAAGATGAACTGAAAAAGGCAAAGGATCAACTGAACTCAGCTGAATTAGGGAGGAGGAGAGCAAAAGAGGAAGCTGAAGAGGGTAGGCAGCAGCTTGAAGCCATGTCGTTGGAGCTTGAGGAGTCCAGACAGCAGTTGCTAGAGCTTTCGGCTTCTGAAGATGAACGGATTCAAGAGCTACGTAAAATTTCGCAGGATCGAGATAGAGAATGGCAGTCTGAACTTGAGGCCCTCCAGAAACAGCATTTAATGGATTCAGCTGCTTTGGGTGCTGCCATGAATGAAAATCAGAAGCTTAAGCTTCAGCTGGAAAGGATAGCTGGTTTGGAGGTGAACCATAGTAGACATGCCGAATCTGCACAAGCTGAGATTCATAGCCTCAGAGTAGAACTCAAAGAAACACTCTCACTGGTGGAGGAACTCAAATCCAAGCTTTCTGAATATGAAGATTCTGAAGCTCAAAGTCTTGAAGATCAGAAGAAAACACAGATGGAACTCGAAAGAGCAAACGAAACCATTGAAATGCTTCAATCGGAGGGAACCAATGCGATGAAAGCGTTCAGCTCCATATCCTTGGAGTTGGAGCAATCCAAAGAAAAAGTTGCATCATTGGAGGCCCTTGTTAGCAAATACCAGGTCGATTTGGCTGAGATTGACAAGAAAAATTTGGAAGATCAGTCTGAAAATAAGAACAATGAGAAGGATGAAGAAGAAACTGAATACATCAGTCAGCTTAAAACTGAGCTTAATTGTGTTAGATCTGAAATGGGTCAATTGAAACTGGCTTTAGATGCTGCTGATAGAAGGTACCAGGACGAATATCTTCGGAGTACGATACAGATCAGGAGTTCTTATGAAGAATTGGAATCTGTAAGATCCGAATCACGTCTTAGAGAGGCTGCATTTGAAGCTGAACTCGTTCGAGCAAAGGCACAAATTGAGCAACTGAGGACGCATCTTGAGGATAAGGAAGCTCAACTTCTGAGCATTGCCAAGGAAAAGGAAACTTCAAACTTGAATCAGAGAAGCAAAGAAAGTGAAAGGGAATCCGATAATACAGAACAGCTGAAGAAGTTAGAGGCTGATATTGAGGAGTTGAAGGCAAGCCTGCTAGACAAAGAGACAGAGTTGCAAGGAATCATTGAAGAAAACGACATGCTCCGAGTGGACATTCAAAAAATGGAAACAGGAAGGAAGATGGCGAATGGCGAAACTACAGATCTGGAAGAGCCAGCAAACGAAGAGACTTTGAACAAACTTGGGAGTGTAAACGAAAACTCGGAAATGGAGGCGGAATTGAGGAGGCTAAGGGTGCAGTTAGAGCAATGGAGGAAAGCAGCTGAGGCAGCTGCTGCAATGCTCTCACCAGGGAAAGATGGAAAACTTGTAGACATTTCAGGTCCTATTGACAGCAACTATCCTCATGGCTCGTTCTACTCCGAAGAGCTCGATGATGACTCGCCAAAGAAGAAGAATATCAACATGCTGAAAAAGATTGGCGTTCTATGGAAAAAGAATCAAAAGTAGGTGACAGACAGAAGTGCAGCAAAGTATTATGCAAATTGGGTTGGGCTCTTTTCTTCTATAATCTTGGCTTGAATTGATAGGCAACCAAATATTTTATGTGGAACTGTATAGTATAGTTGCTCAAACTGGTAAGTTTTGATTTTTTATAAGTTACAAATGAATTTATGATGCGTTTCTGCAGAATACAATAAGTTTTTTGCACTGCCTCTTTCATCCATCTCCCTCCACTCATCCATGGTTCTCAACTTCTATATTTCTTCCCTTCTTCACACACACACACATATCCTTTCCCTCTTCCTTCTGTGAAGGTGTTGCATGAAACCAAATCGTTTCCGTGCTCGATCAAGTACTGTTGCTTTATTCGTAGGCCTGCTTCGGTTAAGGGGCATTGCCCCTCAGTTCGTACCAGTCTCTGGTGTGTAATCGACATGTTGTTAGCTTCAATTTGATGGAATAAGAATCATTAATTTCCTCTACTATCAATTTCTTATTCATTCAGAGCGTTCTCTGATGCATGTTCTTTCTTAAACTAGGGCAACTCCAAACTAGAACAATTGGTGGGTGAAAGAGAACAATTGTAGCACCTCGTATTTAGCATTCGAATAAGGATTTGAAATCTTGATTTGACACTTGATGACTCCGACATTTTTCTGCAGCATGACTATGTTAACTACTTATCTTAAATTGCTCATAAGAGTGAATATTCTCGAGTATTTTTAGCATGTAATCACTCACATATTTTTTATAATTATTTTCAAAAGGCCAACCAACACAGAATTACTTCAAGCCAAACACGTTTTGGAGTTTCTATGAGCCACCCAAATAAACATACATTTTATTGGCATAGATGGTAAATATCAATATCAATTACTTTTGTTTAACCTATTTTTATATCTATAATTAAATATTGGTTAAATGACCTCAACATTAGGTTAGGTTAGGTTTAGTTTGATGGAGGTACTTATTGGAGTAGGACCATTTGTTTTAAAACCGGCAAGAGACAAACATTGGTAGTGTGCAAAAGAGAACGTTGGGCCGACAAACATTGGTAGTGTACAAAAGAGAACGTTGGGCCGACAAACATTGGTAGTGTACAAAAGAGAACGTTGGGCCTACAAGAAAGTGGATTGTAAGATTCCACGTATGAGAACAAACCATTATTTATAAGAATAAAAATCTCTCCCTACTACCTACGAGAGAAAAATGAAACAGAGACTCTCCCAAGTATACATTTTAAAAGACTAACACTTATAAGTAACATATCAAAGTATGTTTACAAACTCTAGGTGGGCGGTCAGTCATTTAACTTTCTCCAACTTCAAGGTGAGAGAGAGATCCATTAAAAAATTCAAGCAGGTTGCAAACGCTAGTCAAAGATTACCTTACGAACAAACTTTAGCCAAATCTCCCAAAATTTAACACATTATCAATTATCAAAGGCGAGTATGCTTTATTTTTCTCTTGAAGTCTGAAGTAAACTTCACAACCTTAATATAAATGCATAAACACTACAAATGAAATTAATATATATATATATATATATATATATATATATATTAATATAAATGCATAAACACACCCCCTAGAAGTGATTTCACGCACTTGTAACATAGCAATTTAAATATAGTCAAAAATATTTTAACGAATAACTTGATGAAGCCCAGAATATTCCTAATTTAATGAATAACAAGGGTCGTCTTTTTGTGCATATCTCAAAAGCCCATCCCTACAATGGTTGCACTTAAAAATCTAGCGAACATGAATCATGGCATGTAGGGAAAATGATATGCCAATGAAGAACAGGGCATCCAGGAAATTGACCATCGAAAAACAGAAGATTATCAAATCATAGTGCATACATTATCGGTTTTGACAATAGATACTAAAACAAAGATTAGGAATCTAGATAAAAAACGGGAGAGAAAAAGACCAAAGAAAATTATCTATGTTATTTCACTCACTGTTCTCCCAAATTACTTCCCTTCATAAACGCAAAAACAGTCAAAAGAAGAAAAACAACTCCTTAACAAAATAGATTAACAAAGTAATGAGGTCTATGAGATTTTGAATAAAGAAAAATGAAATTACTGAGAGACACCAAGCCATTTCGAGAAGTTCTCGAACTCGGTATAATCACTGTCTGAGATCATTGTCTGATACCAAGCCTTTCCTGCACTTTTGATTGTAGTAGCCTCCTCCTGTAAATTCATGCACAAAAGGGGAAAAGAAAATCAGCACCGAGGTTAGGATGTATACAATCACAACATTCAGATAATATGAACATATGTGCCACCATATTAAACAAACTGTGGTCATGGAGTATCTTACTTTAAAACGAGAAATATATGTCTCAAAAGAACTTCACCAAGATGATAAAACAAACAAGTCCCAAAAGAACCCAGTTCTCAACCAGAACCCACAAAGATTACTACCACTCTATGTCATAACTGCAGCTATAATCATCATTTCCATTACTTGCAGTGATATGTACAGCCAGATTTGAAAAGAAGAATATACTGTTGCAAAATCTATGAACACAAACCATTACAGTTCAAAAAAAAAAAAAAAAAAAAAAAAAAAAAAAAAAAAAAAAAAAAAAAAAAAAAAAAAAAAAAAAAAAAAAAAAACAGGAGGAGAGAGTCAATAGTAAACCTGAAAATGGATGCATTACGAAGTTAAGCGATGATTGGAAATAATTAAACATGAAGCTTATCAGAAGCAGAACCCTTAACTATGAACCAATTGTTCAACAAGAATGTATGTAAAAACGACCGATCAAATTAAGCCATTATATCAAACCAATTATGCCATCAATCAAAGAATGGAACAAACCTCACAGCAACAAATAATTATTAGTATTTGAAGGCAGGAAATATCTTCAGTCATTTCTAATATGAACATACGCACTGCTTGATTTCCGAAGGAATACAAATAACACTTAATGAGCAACATGCAAAAGATCTCACTAAGAACGGGAAAGATGTACCTTTGTAGTCAAATTTCTCTTCTTGTCAAGTTTCTCCTTCTTAGCCTTAAGACGTTGCTCCTCAGCCAAAAGAGCCATTCTTCTAGCAGTCTTTGCATATGGGTTAAGTTTGAGCATGGCGTTCAAGTTCTTCAATGGGTTCTTCTTCAATGGAGCTCTCTTAACCTCCTTCTTAATCGGCTTCACTACAGATTGCACTTCGTCAGAGTTAATAATCCTTGACAAATCTGCATTCACCATCTTAGACCTCGGAAGAACATAACCCTTTTTCTTCTCTGAAGGCCTCTCAAAAGATCCATAGATAGAATCAAGCTTCTCAAAAGCAGACTTGGTCCAGATCACAAACCTTCCAAGGTGTCCACCGGGAGCGAGCTTCAACAAATTAAGCCTCTCAACGTTAGCAATCTCAACTCCGGGAATATTACGGAAGGCCTTAACAAGCTTAGCACCCTCAGTTCCGTAAACAATCAATGGACCCTTGCGAGAAATATAACGGCGGTTCCTCATCTTACCCTTACCTGGACGGATCGAGTGGCTATCTTTGGCCTTCTCAGCATCGGGGAATGCGCCAACCTGTTTAAGAACCTTGAGTGCTGCAGAGGTCTTCTCAACGCCTTCAACCGAGTCGCTTACAACAAGGGGCAATTCAGGGACAGACTCGATTCGATGGCCACGAGCAAGAACCAATGATGGAACAGCAGAGGCCGCGATAGCTGAAACAACAGCATACCTCTTCTGATTCACATTGATCTTGCGGTGCCAACGGCGCCAGATCTTAGTAGGAGCAAACATTCGACCACCACGACACATGTTTCCGAAAGCACCCTGACCAGCACGGTGAGTACCTCCACCAGGAACACGGGGAATACGGGAAACAGCACGTCCAGTACCCCATGATTCCGCGGAGGTTTGGTGACCAGCACGCTTGCTGACAGCGTAGGGCTGGCGGCTGTTCTTCGAGATGTTGGAATGAACAAAGCTAACAATGTCCGGCCGAATTGAAGCCTTCATCACGTCCGGAAGTGGGACGGTGGGCACCGCATCGGTAGCCATGTCCCCGTCGAGGGACTGAATCGAAACCAGGGGGCGAGCAGCAGCGGCCATTGAAGAGTGATTGTGTGTTTGAAGAACAGGGGAGAGAAACGAAAGGAAGAACTAGGGTTTTACGGCTGCGTGTTTATTTATATATGCGAGTATCAGGGTTTGCTGATTGATGACGCAAAAATATTTTAATTATGAAAAAATTAATCGAAATAACATATGAAAATACATTATTAATTTAAACTTCTCAATTTACCGTCCTCTTGGCATCATCTTCGTGTAGTAATTATAACATAATTGGGCCAGCCCAACAAATAGGCCTGATTATAAGCCCATTTTACTGAAACCCAAGACTGTACTCTTTTAAAAAAATAGAAATTTATTTTTTTACATATTTTATACGAATTAAATTTCAATTATTTTTTTAAACGAATTGAATCTTGGGGCTTAATAAACGTTTTACGTATGGAAAAAAAAAAAATACATTTTTTGACCTATAAATTCAATCCAACATTAGAAGTTTAAATCTTTCATTTGGATATGACATTAAAAAAATAAAAAAAAAAGAACGTTGGATGATGCATAGAAATAATAAATGTGGTCGTTTACCACTAATAGATATTGTCCGTTTTGGCTCGTTACATATTGTCGTCAGCCTCACGGTTCTTAAAACGCATCTGTTAAAGGAAAACTTTCCACACCTTTATAAGTAATGCTTCGTTCATCTCTCCAACCAATGTGAGATCTCATAATCCACTCCTCTTGAGAACCCGACGTCCTTGCTGGCACATCCCCATGTGTTTGCCCCAAGTCCACTGCGAGTTGATATTGTCCGTTTTGCCCCGTTACGTATCGACATTTATACTGAGCACAAATTAGGTAATTAAAATAAATTTACTTGCCTAGTGCACAATTTATGTGTCGTTGTTGTGGTGTAGTGATTATCACGTTAGTTTTACACACTAAAGATCTCTAGTTTGATCCTAGGCAGCAACTTAATAAGTTATTTTTAACCTAATTTCATTAAGTTTATACTTAAAAAACAAATTAGTTAATTAAAACAAATTTACTTGCCTAGTGTAGAGTTTGTGTCAAGTTACTATGGTGTAACTAAAGGTCCACAATTTAATCATAGTTTCATTAAGTTTATACTTAGAGTACATATTAGGTAATTAAAACTAATTTACTTGCCTAGTGCATGATTTATGTGTTCGGTTGTTGTGCTGTAGTGATTATCACCTTAGTCTTATACACTAAAGGTCCCTAATTTGATCTTGGATAGTAACCTAATGAGTCCCCAATTTGATCTTGGTAGTAACATAATGAGTTCTTTTTTAATATAGTTTCATTAAATTTATACTGCATAGTTTATGTGTCAAGTTGCTGTGGTGTAGTAGTTATCACGATAGTCTTACATACTAAAGATTTCCAATTCAATCCTGGGCAGCAGCATAAACTTAGAGCACAATTTACTTGTCTAGTGCACGGTTAGATTGAAACCAACCATTGCATATATTCCATTAGTCATAGAAACATCTGACATCTGTTTCTTGCAACCACATCTCTCAACGGTTATGTACCATAAGTCAATCGACCAAGGAAAATCAACCTAACAAAACTTCCGTATCGTATAAATTATGAAAGAACCAATTTGAAAAATAATAACGTACACAGTAAGAAACTCTTCATCACTGGCACAATGTTCTTTTCTCCCATAGAACTCTCACTGCGTTCTTCACCTTGCTCATTGAATGAAGTAAATCTTTAGCACATGCCACTGAAGCAACAAAAACTGAAGTACCAGCGGCCATGATTATAAACAGATATTGGTAGCATTATTGTATCATCTAATCCACGATCTACTTTTGACGGCGAAGATGTTCCCGCATATGTGTGTGTATGTCTGCCTTCACTACCAGTCGCAAGGTTTTCGAGTCCTCCCATAGCAACCCATTCCATTCTCGTGCATAGTCGCAAGCAGCCTCGAAAACTTCCTGGAATACCAAAGCAATTCCTTCTCAGGTGATTTTTCAGGTGAATGTACAAGTAAGCTTCAAAGTTAAAAGAAGCAATATTCAAAATTCATACCCTGGAAGGGAATTCGTCGTAAAAATGTGCGGGAGTTATATCAACTCTATTAAGATCCGATTCCCAAAGCCTAATCTGTCATGGAGTAAGGAGCAATGGAAAAAATCAGGAACGGTACAAAGATTTGATAAAATTGTCAGACGATAACATATATAGACGTTTTTGGTTTCCATGCCAAGCAAGGGTTGATTTGTAGGTAAGAAACCATTGGCTTGCCGCTTGCCAAACATCAAATAATTTAATAAAGCAACCCAAACCTGATCCGTGACATTTTCTGGGACTGATGGTATTCTCTCTGCAACACGAGGATGTGCATTCTGCTGTAGAAAAGTAACTATCTGCAAAACAATAGTCAGATATCAAGCAATTTGAGATTAGAAAACCAGCATAGAAAACTGTAGTAATGTCCTTAATGTAATTGAATGAATACATGTGTCGTTTGTTTTAATATTTTTTTGAACTCAAGATATCCAGAGTTTACATTAAGTTTATGAGAGAATTTAGATTGATGCACACAAGAAAAATAGAAAGATTGTTTCTTGTGGATTAGGAGGAGCCAATGCTAGTTGAAGTCCTTTGTGGCTGGCCGATAACAATGGGTTAGGTACTTGTACGGAATAATAATTAGAAATGGGGAGAATTCTCCAAGTACACTGCTAGCAAGAATTAACAGTGCTACGAACGCAAGATATTGTGAACTAATGAAGCGCAAAGGAGAACTGGTCTACTGCAATCGATTGGCAACTTGAATATAATATAATGGTACGCATACTTCACAAGACTAGCAGAAACGTGTCAGGGTGAACGAGCCGAAAACTTGCCTGCTGTGCCGTAATCCCATTCTTAAAAGCATTATACAAGCTTTCTTTCGTTATTGCTCCAACTATAAGATTTGGAAGTTGATACTCAATCCTGCAGAAGAACAGTTTCGTTTTATTGTACCATTCTTGAACCAAATAGAAAGTTGATAAGTGTGGTTAGATTGCTTCACTACGTGGTTCAATTCAACAGGAAAGGAAATTACTGCATTCACCACGCAGTACGTAAAATGTAGAATGTTGAACTTGAATCATATCCCCTATTTAATCAACTATTACAAGTGCTGCTGGTAAGAATACAATTAAAAAAACGGACCTTAAAATAATCAAATAAATTTGTTGTAAAAATTTAACACAGGTGAACGAGAATTATATTTAGTTAAGAAGAGCAGCAGCATTTCTAATTTACACAAGTATAACACTAAAACTATTGAATTATTATTAACATATTATGTAACAGTATTCCAATGATTAATTGGCCCTACTGACCTTACAGAATCTATCACTAGTTGCTTGCAACCTCAAGAAGCATGCTAATGACTAAGTTACCCCTCAGCTTGCCCCTCCTTCCTCCAAGCATATGTGAATTTCAAGAGGGTCTAGCAGGGGTGGGGAATTCAAATATATTTAGCATTCAAGAAGAAAAAGTAAGATGTAAATATTAGTGTTTGAGCCAGTTTGTACATCTTCAACTGCCTCATGGAACATTTGGTTGTCAAGGTAACTCATAAGATACTGATCTGGTGTAGTTGGCATATATAAGTTATGTTTTATTTACATGGGTCCTTATTGACCCAATAGGTCAACTCGTGGTAGTTAAAGCTAACTCGAACATTGGTTATATGATGTAATATATCATTAATTGATAACATATACCTCGAAAAAAGACGTAATATTTCACAATGTAGTTTGGAAGAAGAATAAGCATACATCCTGAAATTTGTCTCCACGACAACAAATCCCTGGATAAAGAACAGGAAGAAAATTAAGAACAAAAAAATTCATAAAGCCTCCAAACTAGGACAAAAAAAAAAAAAAAAAAAAAAAAAAAAAAAAAAAAAAAAAAAAGAAAAAAAGAAAAAAAAAGATAACTGAGTTATTTTTAATACCAAAAAAAGTCTGTCAAATAATAATATCAGAAAAAGTAACGACGATAAGATATATACCTGAGGATACTCTATATGTCTAACTAAAAGATAATTATGGAAAAAAAAAACTATCATACAAAACACACAAACTACTAAAAGAAGTAACCGTCATGAAAATGAAACTTCAGAGAAATATATCAAATTTTAAATATAATTTAGAAACACTAACCTGCTTCCTCGAAGAAGAATCTGCCAAACTCATTGAAAGATTCGTGGCTAATTTAGTAGGTATGAACCAACTGTCTTTTCTACCCTGGACAAATTAACAGCGAAAAGCACAACAGAAAGAAAAAGAAAAAAAGGTGAAGTTAAAATAAAGTAAGAACTTGAGCAAAGGTCATGTTCAATTTAAAAAGCAGCAGAGGCTAGGCACAAACCTGCTGAAGCTTAACTAGTCCCAGATCAGCAAGGTCCTTGATAGCATACCTCTGTTCTTCTGTCAGTGTATCAATATCATAAGCCTACAAAACAAAGAAGAAACACGTTGGTTACTGGACAGTAAATAGTCAATGAATTAGTTTTATAAAAGTTAGTTATATGGATCATTAGTATTTATTATAGTTATCAGAGGATTAGTGAGCAGCTGTTCTTGATTAAGAGACGGGAAAGAGGGATGATGAAGGTTTTGGAGTTACATTGTGGAAGTAATTTAGCCTTCTCAAAATGCTGTCAATCTTGGTAGAAAAGGTCCACAATGGAATATCCAAAAATTGTCAGTGGGGAATGGGAGAACACAATTAGGGCAGCTGGCTTAAGGTTGAATGGATTGTGGCATTCCTAGTTTGTTTGTTTGTTTGTTTGTTTTTTTTTTTTTCTTACTGAAGTTTCAGAGGGGAGAATTTTGTAAACAGGTTAATATCCACTTGGAGCTATGGGAATAGATGCAAAATCAGCACCAGAGGTTTTACAAAGAAAAATGTGCAAGAGCCTTTTTGTCTGACGGTGGAAAGACTCACCTTAGTGCAATTGACAGTGTTAGTATGCCAATTTATTTGATGTATCCATTGAAAATCCAAGTGGCTAAGCTTTTGGAGAGTATGTGAAGAAACCTCTTATGGGACAGAGAGAGTATTTACAATGGCAGCCATCTAGCTGATTGGAGGAGGGTGTCTGACTACCAAAAGAGCGTGGACTTGGAGAAGGAATCTGAAGGAGAGAAATTTAGCACTTGCGTCTAAATGGCATTGATAGAGACACTTGATTTACATCTACTAGTTCACCATAGGAGAATGAGAAGCAGCAGCCCTTGGAAGTTTGTGGTGAGGTGAGAATTAGTAGTTTCTCCTTCAAACTTGTTAACGGAACCAAAAAATAGTCACCACAAAAGTACATAGGCTTTGAATATTCCTCAGAGGGTAGCTATCTGTAGAATTCAGTTGCCTAGCTTTAAAAATGAAGAGTTAGCTGACTGCTGGAATGGGAGAACTAAAAGATTGATTTCAATAGGCCACTAAATGATAGAGAAGCTACTGAGTACTTGTCTCACTCGGCTGCTAAGCACTGTCAAAAACCACAGTCCAAATTGACAACCTGCAGATTGAGATGGAATTTGGACAAACTCTAGACTTGAAATGATTACCATTTCTGCTAAAAGAGATGCACTTGTTTAAGGTTACCTGAAGTGGAGGTGAGAAAACCCAAAGAAAATTATATTTTTCATTTTGCATCTTGCTATGAGGAGGATTAATACACGCCAAACTTGCTCAAAGAAAAACCCATATGATCCCTCTCTCCTTGTGTATCACATGCACAGGAAATATGGAAACTCAAAACCAGATCATTTTATGTTGCTAAGACCACGATGCAGCAAGCGTTGATGAAAGAAACTCATCCCAGTGGTTCTTAACTGGGTTGATGCCTTTCCTCAACTTGTTCTTTATTCTCCATAATTAATACAGTTATTCACTCTTACGCCGGAGAAAAGAAAACCCTAAAGCCCTTTGTTTATTTTCTAAAACAAACTCTTCATGTACGAGTGACAATCATTATATAAATGAAAAAGAATATGGATAAAGTTCCAATCAAATTCAACCTGAACATAAACAACCTAAGGTAAATTAGGATTAGTGCACCGTAAACATACTAAATATAATCAATCTGTGTTAAGAAAAAAAAATTCTCCTGAACCAACCCAAAGAACTTAAAAGAGTTCTATAATGATAAAAAAGAACACAACAATAAAAGATAAAGATGAAAACAAGGAATTAAAAGATGATCAAAGAATTGATACCTCTCCTGTCACGTGAAAACTAAGCTCCAGCAGAAAAGAAATCAAATCTGCAGGATCGACACCTCGCTCCTGCACCATATTGATAAAGCATTTACAAAAAAGGAATAAGAGAAAATAAATAATAAAATTACACAAACCAATGAATCAAAAGAAAACAGTCTAAAAATTAACAATAGTTGGTTTTTACTTTGAGTAACAATAGTCCATCATTTGGATTCAAATAGAAAGTGTTCCAAATTAATGACAGAATATATATAGTTTTTCCTCAGAGGAAGGCAATAGGACATGACAATACAAATGGAAAACACAAACAAACCTCGGCATTAGATATATATTCTCTGATGATATACCAAAGTTGTGCATTTGTTTCCATCAACTGAAGTTTACATACATCACAAGAATCCCTGGTGAGATAGATCAATGCGGATTTCAAGAAGTCTATGGTTCATGTGATTCATACCAAGAACTGGAAACCGCTCTCAGTTAATCGTGGAGTTTCTTTATCCCTGGATACCATACATGACATTTTATCAGACATAATAAGTCATTGCAATATATAAGCGAGTGTACATTGAACAAGATTTTAACCTCTGACTTAAAAGGCCTTTCTGGAAAACTTTCATCACGGAAGAACTAATATTTGAGGGCTTATCAGCTTGGCCTGAGTTTATCAATTGCAGCAAGAAGCACTGAACGAACACAATAACAGATCATAAGAATATCCACGATCAAAACTTGTACAGTAAGCAACTGAGAAGACAGGTAGCCTTTCATTGAGTCCAAGAGGATGGAATCAATACTAGCCGAAGAATAAACTAGAAAGGATGCAACCAGATACATATAATTAAAATTATTTTGATAATTGTCCAACCTCCCACTGATCCAGAGCATAAGCCTCAAGTTCTTCCAAATTTGGAAGCCTCACGGTAATATTAGAAGGCATTGGTTCTCTGGCTAGAACTTCACTGCAAGATCCCAAATTCATTGTCATTTTTTAAACCAAGAGTAAATCACTTTTAAATGTTAAAATCAAGGCGTCTAAACTCCAGGATCAGCTTCCTCTTATAGAAGATGAGTAATCATCTACTTGAACTTGGCGAATGCAAATAAGGCAGAAAGTAAAAAGAAAATGTGCATATATTAAGAAAGATCCATGCATCATAATGTTTGTGTTGAGTAGAATGGAAATGAGACAAATCACGATCCCTCCTTGCATATTTGTTTTAGAAATGCATTCACTGAGCCAAGTGAGAGAAAACATACCCATGTATTAAAAGCTTTTGGAGGTTAGCTTGGAACGTTGGATTTAGCTTGTAGGTTGTTTCTCTTTTCCTATCAATAAAATGGGGGTTCACAGAAAACATTACAATAAAGGACTGGGTTGAGCACTACAAACCATGCAAAACTGCTGATGGAATTATAAACAATTTCAGTGAGATCAAAACAGAAATAATGCAAAAGCATTTACATATTGCTCCACAAGTTCAAATTTTAAATTTCTCCTTGCATGAACCTCTCAATTCTGATGATATCATGATATGAACAGGTGGGCAATCTATCAACTGATGGAAAGAAACATCAGAGAAAAAGATGAAGATAAAAAGAAAAAAAAAACTCCACAAACTCGGCCTTACTCTTGAACGCTTGAATGTAAGTTTGCTTGGATCTAATATAACTAAGGATGCATTTGAAAAGCATTGTGAAAGAATATCAACTTCTATGGAAAATGCGAGAAAAGAATAAACACCTATCCGCAGTCTCAATAAATACTCTCAATTGAATCAATCGATCAACGGCAACCTTATACTTCGAGACTCCATCTGGGAGCACCCACTCCTCCATGGACTTGGCTGTTACTGGAGCATCAATGTATAACATTTGTAAAACAAACTTCTTGGCAAGGGGTGGAAGTGACCTGATTACAAAAGATGTTTGACACTTATAAATGAAAAACTCAAAAACTAGGATTAACTAGCTACTTCTAAGTTAAATTCACTAGCAACCAAGAACTTTGCCCACGATCCTCTAACTCAATGAACGAGAAGGAAAAATGACAAACAACTAATGAAAAAATATGGAAATTCAGCATCAATATCAAAACTAGAACATATGAATCAAATAATAAATAAATAAACAGCTTCAATGAATCGTATTATGAACAAGTTTCCAGGATATGAAAATCATGGTCAGATGGCCAACACAATCACATACAAACTCAAGGTTTTAGTCGTTTCAGTAATTAATACGACCCCAAAACAGAAATAAAAGCACTTAGAGTGGCAAGCAAGGACCTAAGAATGGCTTCGCAGATGAAGGCATTCTCATAGAGTTGATCGAGCTTCATGGCGGGCAAGGAGGCCACCATGTCCATAAAATTCTTCGCTATGATCTTTACTTGAGGCATTCTGGATTGAGCTTTCCTTCTTTCAGTGGCTAGTCCTTTAGGGTTCTGCAAAACTTACAGCAAGCAAAGGAGAATCCCTCGAGTGTCGGATACACAGAAGCAGGAATTATAAAGAATTGCAGCTTCCAGCTCGGGAGTGAGACCGCAGTGAGAATTTATAGCCAATGGTGAAGTCTTGGATCTTCTGAAATCAATCAATCAATCAAATAATTAACAGCTAATCAACCTATTGACTCTCTGCCTGCTTCCCATATCGTCCATTCCGAAGACCGAAGACGAAGAACGACACGTCGTCTCCATCTTAAATTAAAATGTTTAATTTTATTATGCTATTATATATATTTATTTATTTGTTAATATATTTAAAAATAATACCTTTTATATATGTTAGCTTTAATAAGCCAAAGTGCACTAGCCGGCTGCTTTAAGCCGCCACTAATACGCCAAAGTACACGTGGCACTCTATGAATTGAGAGAATGACGTCAATATTGTACGGTAATTTGTGTTTCTAGTTTTGGAAAAATAGTCCTAATATTGTATAATAATTTTGGAACAATTTTGGAGGCCTAATCTAAAAGATTCCTCTTCAAGAAAATAATAATTAAAAGGAAAAATAAAAGAATAAGAGAGAAACCTCAACATCGTCTTCTAGGTTTTTCTGGATTGAATTTCAGACTCGAGTTTCGATCAGTTCTCTCTCGGTGTTTTGCCGGTTAGGAAGAGCAATGAGTGGTTCCGTGAAGGACGTGCAATCTAAGGCGGAGATTGACGGCCTTCTCCGGAGTGATGCTCTGGTTATCCTCCATTTCTGGGCTTCATGGTGTGAAGCTTCCAAGCACATGGATCAGGTCTTTTCACATCTTGCTACCGATTTTCCTCACGCTCATTTCGCAAGGGTGGGTCTCTACCTCTCTTTAGTAGTTGTTTTCGGTGATTTTTGCCTGTGAGTTTTTATTACTTCGAATGTTTATCCTCTTAGTTGTTCATGGAGATTATAGGTTGAAGCTGAAGAGCAACCCGAATTATCGGAGGCTTACTCGGTTTCTGCCGTGCCCTACTTTGTTTTCATCAAGGTCGGTTGAAATTCTTTATTACGTTTTTTCTTTGTATGGGAATTCTTTTGCGTTCATTTGGGAAATGATTGTGCCCAAAGTTTATTTGAATTATTTATAATTTCCAAGTTGGTTTGGTAGATTATAGAATCCTATTACATTTCCGACTTGACAAGTATAGTTTCCAATCGGATACTCGAACCAGTAATACTCTGGAGAGATGGTAATGCATTTACGTCTGATCTTTAAACTCGGCATGGAAATTTTCCTGGTTCCTTTCGATGATATTAAAATTGTATTACGGGGTTGACGACTTGTAAAGGAATAGGTTCCAACCTTAAGTGAGACCAATTGTATTCACTGAAGGGATGGTAATTGATTTACGTTTTGGGTATTGATCTTTGAACTCGGTATTGTACCTCTCTTGGTTCACTTCGTTGATTTCTTTTAAAGCAAGAAATTAACTTTAAATTTACTGGAAATGCTGTATTTCTTCATGAATATCAGCGGAAAGAGAAGTAAAGCAAGAACAGTTGAGGACTGAGGATATGTGGTAGTAATAGACTTTCAAGTAGTCGATCAGTAATTCTTACATGGTGACTCTTTGTGCTTTCAGAACTTATCGAACTTCTTTTTACTTTTCCTTTTCCTAGCTTGTCTTTTTTTTGCAGCACCTTTGAATGCAATGCTGTAAGTGAAGGTCAAGGATACTATTCTATGTTTTCATATTAAGCACCAAGCAAGTTAGAGATGCTTGGGATGTGTGGGTTTGATGTCTATCATGGACAACTAGGGTAATTGTATTATAATTAATTTCATGTTTCAGGATGGCAAGACTGTTGATACCTTAGAGGGGGCTGATCCATCTAGCTTGGCTAATAAAGTTGCTAAAGCTTCTGGTACAATTAATGCTGGAGAACCTGCAGCCCCAGCTAGCCTTGGGATGGCTGCAGGAGCAACTATCATTGAAACAGTGAGAGAGTTGGCAAGAGACAAGGGCTCTGCTACTCAAATCAAGGTGCAACCTGGACTGAGCGGTGCTTTGCAGAAGAAAATTCAGCAGCTTATTGACTCTAATCCAATCATGTTATTCATGAAAGGAAGCCCTGAAGAACCAAAATGTGGGTTTAGTAGGAAAGTAGTTGACATTTTGAAGGAAGAAAATGTGAAATTTGGAAGTTTTGATATCTTATCAGACAATGAAATTCGTGAGGGATTGAAGAAGTTCTCTAACTGGCCAACATTTCCGCAACTCTATTGCAAAGGGGAGCTACTTGGTGGGTCTGACATAGCCATTGCAATGCATGAGAGTGGTGAGTTAAAGGAAGTCTTCAGAGATCATGGCATTGAGAGCATAGTTTCCAACGAGGTGAAGACTGCCAAACCTGATAAGGCAGATGGTATCTCAGAAAACTCTGGGTTGAATGCAGCTCTAGCCTCCCGTCTTAAAATGCTAGTTAATTCAAGTCCTGTTATGCTGTTTATGAAAGGAAAACCTGATGAACCCAAATGCGGTTTTAGTCACAAGGTCGTAGAAATCCTTCGTGAAGAAAATGTGAACTTTGAGAGTTTTGATATCCTTTCTGATGGTGAAGTCCGCCAGGGGCTCAAAGATTATTCAAAGTGGTCCAGTTACCCCCAACTCTATATCAAGGGTGAGCTGATTGGTGGATCCGATATTGTTTTGCAGATGCATAGAAGTGGAGAACTTAGGAAAATTCTAGAAAATAAAGGAATCATTAAGAAAGACACTATTGAAGATCGTTTGAAAAAATTGACATGTTCTTCCCCAGTTATGCTCTTTATGAAGGGTACACCGGATGCTCCAAAATGTGGTTTCAGCTCCAAAGTTGTTAATGCCCTCAAGGTAGAAGGGATTGATTTTGGGTCATTTGATATCTTAACTGACGAGGAAGTGAGGCAGGGATTAAAAGCTTACTCCAATTGGCCGACCTTTCCCCAGCTTTATTACAAGGGCGAACTTATAGGAGGCTGTGATATTGTGCTGGAGCTAAAAAATAATGGAGAACTGAAATCTACTCTATCCGGATAGTGTCGACATGAGCTGCTTGGGGTGTGTCTGTATCCATTCAACTGTTTCGTCTTACATCAATCTATTGATATTATACATCTTCTAAAGCTTGCTTTTTTAGTTTTGGTTGATCTCTGACCCGTCAATGCGGGTCTGTTCTACTGCATATAAAAGCAAGGGTTTACCCTAATGACCGATGAGTTTATGATATATCGTGTGTTGTTTCCCGTTACTGGTAACTATGTTCATTTTTCTAGTTTCCTTAGTTGGGTTTTCAATGACGAGAAACCTTGAACGCATTATAAAAGTTGGGATTATATTTCTTGGCCTAAACCATCTCGACTTCTCATATTATCTGCAAATGAGTGTCACTGATAGGATTTGGAGGACAGGTTGAGATCCATAACTTGTGCTCAGGGAAAGGGTTCGTTTGAAAATTTCGGCCTTATGAAGACATGCTGATCAAAAGAGCGAAGGCGAGAGAGGGTAGGCCAATGATTCTTCCTCGTTAAAGGAAAGATCAAGGCGTAGGTGCTATGGAGAAAGAACTGGCGCTCGCCAGTTCTCTTTTCCCTTTTCAAAGTCAAAATCTCTTACTTTGTAGGCAGGGTTTTGGACTTTTAGGATTAGTAGGCCAATGCAAATTGCAAACCAAATTCTCTAGGAAATCCTCTGCCAGCTTCTGGTTTCTTCAAAATTAATCATGTTCATCTATTCCAATTTCCATTTATTCAAATGCATTACTATCTTTCTGAAACTTTCACAACCAACCCATCTTCCTAATTATCAGAACTCCTTAGGCTACTTTTCAATGCGTCGACCTACACAGTCGAGTAATCTAAGACGAAGTGCTTTGAATTGAGCTATTTGAGCCTGCAATTCCAGCTTCTGTCTTCTTAGGTTCTTGTTCTCCTCCATTAGTAACAGATGGTCTCCATTCTCCTGATCAACAGCCATTGTTACAGCTCCTTCATGAGAAGATCTTAGAAAAGCTGGAAACACACTCGGCTCACATTTCTTACGTACAATCTCCACCAGCATGTGCCTGTTTCCCCTCTGAAATTTCTCGTGCTTGAACTCCCACCTCTTTGGCGACGTCTTCTTGAACCCCTGACATCAATATTACAAGAATTAGATCGAAACCCGATCCAATAAATGATGTCAAGAATATGTAATCAACTCAATTCTTTAAATCTGTTCGCAAGTTATCCGGAAATGGCCAATTGGATCCACTTTACAATGAACATCTTTTCCTGGAGATGTTTGTGAGAAGAACAAGTGGAGGGGGCATTCTCAAAAAGAGAGAGAGAGAGAAAGAGAGAGAGAGGAATACATACATAAGTATTAAGCTGGCGAATGAAGCTAGAGAAGTTATTATGCTTAAAGTATTTAGGCAATAAAACCTCAGAGAAATCAGCAGGAGACCAAACTATAAACCCACTTCCGTCTGCATTCCAGGACACAATCCTGTTGCCGCCGCCATCTTCTTCATCTTCTTCATCTTCTTCATCTTCTTCATCAGCTGCTTTAAAATGGAAGCTTCCATCTTTTTGTAACAGATCATAGGTCTTTGATAGAAAAGGAGCAGGGTTTCTGATTCTTGAAGACTGCATAATTAAGCTCATCCGAATTTTCAGAGCCAAAGATTGTTCAAAGTTGAACAGCTTCTGTACTTATAGCGATGCACCTGCAGCCATTTGCTAGGAAGCTGCCAGGTTCTATAAAGGGTGGCTGTTGCCTTTGGTCTTTATTTCCCTTTTCCAAATCTGCCTTTTTCTTCAAGGGTGTTTGGTGAAAGCTGGACCCATTGATGCAAATCTATATATAAAAATATATATGTTAACAAAACAGTTCCAAAATCAAACCTTCTTGCTTCTTCTAGTAATACCGAAGTACATGATATGATATATCTAGACTATAATATAATATAATGGACTCTACACATTGATCGATTACATTAACAAGTGTGCGAAACCAAAATGAATATGTTCTTATTCATAAATCATATGGTTCAAGTGCTTAAAAGAGGTAGAAAATCTATTAAGACCGATATCTATTGAGCCAAGGTAAGAGACCTCGACTGATTGAACGTATAGTACTAGTTACCCTTTCGGAAAGGTACACAACTACCATTCATCGATTTCTACGTATATTTAGTATTAGAGAGGGTGATATGAACCACGACCAAGGAATTTCCATATCTTAAGGTCCAATTACAAGGACGAGAGCTAAGAAGTTACAACAAACCTTATACAATTATATTCAAGCTATGGTAAGCTCATCAAAGGAAATTTTAGAAGACGATGGAGACCTCCCTTATATGTTGTGCAAAGTTGAGTTTCAAGAAATAGATGAATTAAATGCACTTCAAGTTGCATTTAATGAACTACGCTGAATTTATGAAATTAGTCCAAGGATAGTCAATAACCTCATTTTATTAATTGCATTATTTAATTATAGTTTAAATATTTGTTTGTCATATTTAAACTAGTTTTAAATATAAGAGTTAAGGTTATATTGTAACTCACATAGGTTACTATATTCCACCATTAACTAGTCATTTTAATATGAAAGTTAGGGGTATCTTTCATTTACTACCCATTTAATACGGGAGATTGTAAGGGCTATATAAAGCCTTCTTTTCTTTCATTAGATCTCAGATTTTGGAATTAAGAATAAAATTTCTATTTTAGCTTTGTTAAGAGCTAAATTTTCTTTGCAAATTCTTGTGTTTAGAATTTGCATGTAGAGTCATTCAAGTGGTATTGATCAAACCTCTTGTGGAGTGATTCGAATCACGAGTTCATAAACGAGTTTTCTTTACTCTTGATCTTGATCATCAAGGTAATCCGTTCCATATTTTTCCTTGGGTTGATTTTCCATATCAGAGCGTTGAGCATTTGACCTAGTTCAAATTGGTACCTCAACAATTCTTTTCTTTAGTAATAAGTTATATAGAATTTTTTTTTATTCTCTTTTTTAGAAGATGTGAATCTTAGGTCGGAAAATGTAACAAGAAAATGAAATTAATATATAGTTTTGGTGTAAATTATAAAATCAATTAAAAAAAAAAAGAACAATTTAGTTGTTTTGGGATATTATTTTCATAACATAAGGTTGAAAAATGACAAAATTTCAAAAGGGCCGCGAACTCTGTCTCTTTCATTATTTTAAGTCAAGTCGGTTGAAATATGTTCAAATTAGATCAAGAATTCGTAAAAAATAAATATAGATATTATTATAAATTTATTTATTTATTATTTTAAGTCTGATTGGAATGGGGGCGGTGGGAGAGTGATAGTATTACATGTATAAAAGCATATCGCCAACTACCCACTTGATGGTGGGGGAAAAGGGGAAGAGGATTTTAGGGATGTAATGGATGGCCATGATTCTCCTCTACATACTGATCCGATGAAAGGAAGGGTTAAGATGATGCATTATGCATAGTCTAGTAAAAATGTTCAATAATGATGGCTATGGGAATGAACCACATAATTCAGTGAATATCGAGTGTAAGGCCTGAGACGAGACGAAAGAGTCTCGTTGTGAATAGAAACGTTGGGAAAATAAAAGGGAGGTTATCGGATCCTTTAGTCCCAGCCCCGTGATAAAAGAAAGAGTTGCTGAAGGGTGGGTTGAATTTTGATACTAAGCGAGTATAATTTTATGTTGTGTAGCATTTGTGGTCTTCATTTCTATGCATAGGGAATAACTTAATTTAATTTTATTTATCATAATTAGTTTTAATGTCCTATCAGATATTAGGTTGCTGTGGTGTAGTGGTTATCACGTTAGTCTTACACACTAAAGGTCCCCAGTTCGATCCTGGGCAGCAACAGATTTGGTATTTTATTTTCCAAATTTTATTCTTTTTTATAGCGTAATAGTGCATCACTTGAGACATCAAGTTGCTGTGGTGTAGTGGTTATCACGTTAGTCTTACACACTAAAGGTCCCCAGTTCGATCCTGGGCAGCAACACTTCTGGTTCCTTTTTTTTTTCTCAGGAATTTGTTTAATTTCCCTCTTATCATGGGCGAACAACTATTCACATTTTCACATTCTTTTTAGCGGGTTGATTATTCATGCATTTCATCTACTGTAGAGGTTGATCATTTCCAAAGAAAACAGTGATTAAAAGTTTTCAAGAACCCTCGGAAAATGCAACAAGTTTTCTGGGTGCAAAAAGCCTATACAAAGACGACAATGCACTTTATTTGTGTCTTTCTTGTCTTGAAAATGGGGATGTTTCCAAGAATGGAACATCATTAGAAGACAAGAACGCATAGAATTACACAGCAGAACAGGAAAATGGAGATTCTGTTCAATGACTTGGCTACCTGCATTTCATGTCTTCTCAACCCATCCCTTCTGCTCCCTGTTCCCAAGTAAGAGTTTAAGTTGTCTGAGTTCCCAAAGACCCTCGCATACACGAAATTGCCAATCATTCCTGCCACCCGATGGTCAAATCCACTGAATGATGTTCTCCCAAGGTTTAGCAAAGAGGCTGCTGAATCTTCTTCATAATTCCCAAAAAGAACGGGGTCGTGGTTCGGTCGCTGGTAAGGATTTCGATATGGAAGTTGCTGCTGGTGTGTGCTGGGAGTAGCAAGCATCTGGTTACCACAAGCTGAAGGTCTAGGAGGTATATCAATGTCACGATGCATTGCTTTAGCTTCAGGCTCGACTTGCTCGGCCGTTCGGCCACAACCGTAGAGAGGAACCATTGTGGTGTGGGAAATATCAGCCTTGCAAACCGGGCACTGTGGGTGCTCGTCAATGGCAAGAGAGGCACTCTGGACGTGAAGCCATTTGTAGATGCAAGGCCAGCAGTATAAGTGGCCGCAGAGAGTTACCACTGGCTCATGGGCAAAGTCAAAGCAGATGTTACAATCAAAGCAACCGTTGTAGTGTTTCCATCCTTGCACAAAGTACTGCTCATAGGCCATGAATTGGTCAAGCAACTCCAGTTATTTCCTGGAAAAGCACACAAAAACAAATCAGACATTAAATTTCTCATCTGAACTCTGGAATTAGTGAGATTGGACTCTGGAATTAGGAATCTCACTACCAGTAGATATTGTTTGTTTTGCTTCGTTACGTATCGTCTCACGATTTTAAAATATATCTATTAGAGAGAAGTTTCCACCTCTTATAAGGAATGTTTCATTCCCCCCTCCAACCAACGTGGGATCTCACAATCTACTTCTTTAAGGACCAGCGCCCTCGTTTGCACACTACCCGATGTCTGGCTCTGATACCATTTGTAACAATCAAAGCCCACGCTAGCAGATATTGTTCGCTTTGGCCCATTGCGTATCGCTGTGAACCTCACGGTTTTAAAATACTAGGAAGAGGTTTCTATCCTTATAAGGAATGTTTAGTTTCCATCCAATGTGGGATCTAACATGGTAACATTAACTATAAACAGAATTTGAAGCTAAGTTCAAGGTTAGAGGGAAGAAAGTTGAAAACAATAGATCATTTACAGAACACCAAAACAGAAGGTTAGTGAATCAGTTAAAACACCTAAAACCCAACCGGAAACCACCAACCATCTGACCGACTTTATTGATGTGTTTAGATACGAAGCTTTGTAAAACTTCATCAGCTATTGTAATGAATTAGCAATTAAAGTAGTCAAATAGAGACCTGTTAGAGCTAACCACGAGCATAATACAAGAAGGGCCAGCATACCCAGATTTATTCATATTCCAAAACGAATAAATACAGAATAGAGGACCTGAACGTTAAGTGATAATCTAACTAGTTAGCCAAGAAGAAAAATGTAATCCTGACACATGGTCCTCCTCAGTGTGCTTTTATTAACCCATCACGCTACCGTTCAATTCGACCTACAGGGCAAATTAATGATATGCAAGCAGAAACCTTATAATTTATCAGATATCAACTCCAGAATCGCCAACACTTATCCCTTTCTCACTTGTCCGGAATGAAAGAAACTTGAAGGAAAAAGGATCAATTAACAAATGGAAAGAATCGTCAAAACTTCGACCTCCACGGACAAAATCACAGCGAAACGGAGGAAGAAAACCGTAGTTGCGAAGAAAAAAAACATGTAGAAGTAATCATGAAAGTTCAAATTCAGTGGTTCACCTGAGAGGGAGGGAGAATCGGCAGTTTGCTTGCAGTGCCTTCCTCGTAAAGAGACAAAGTTAATGCAAAAGTGAAAAAGATGGAGATGGAAAAGAAAACCGAGAAGGGAGATGGTTGATAATGATCTAGCGGGGAACTTGAATGGGGTTTTATGGACCAACCTCCATTTTCTTCACTAAATTATAAAAAAATAATTGCTTTTTCTCTTTCTATCATTTTGATCTCTCCCAATATTTATTTTAGATTTGTATTTACAACATTATTCAATATTTCCTTTTCTTTTATCTTATTTTTTTTTAAATTATAATTTTACCATGTCAAATAAAATTATTTGAGATATTTAATAACTTCATTTTTTCAAACAATAAATAATATTTTATCTACTGAACTATAATTCTCCTTTGCTTTTCTTTTCTCTACTTCATTGTTGTATATATATTTAAATTCTTTAATTTATATAAAAATGTTTTATTTTTATTTTTTTAGAATAAAAAACTATGTTCATGAAATAAACCTAGTGAATAATTTGAGATATTGAAAAATAATTTAGCTACGTTAATTTATTAAATATTAATTTGAAGATAGCAAGGAGAATGGTTTCTGGGTTGGCATAATTTGTTGGTTTCTCTTATTTTAAAATACGCAAACTTATAATACAATTTTTAATTAAAAATGGTTTTGTAGTACTCAATGGTATCCATCGGTTGATGTTCTAGAAGCATGATTTCATATTATCTCCGAACCTACCGATGAAAAATAATAATTAAATTTCCACCGAGACAATAACCAATTGACAGAATAAAAAACAAATTCCATAATTTTTTAAAAAAATGTTATTAAATTTATCTAAAAATTCTTTTTTATGGGTTTGATTTCAATTATACCTTAAAACTTCAAAAAAAAAAAAAAAAAAAAAAAAAAAAAAAAAAAAAAAAAAAAAAAAAAAAAAAAAAAAAAAAAAAAAAACTCTTACGCTTCAGAATAACATCCAAGATGGTGCCTTAATATTTGATTATATTGGATCAAATGTGATGGTTGGGGAGGTGGGTCACACTAATCTCGGACCCTGTCTGTTCCACTGGCGAAGGGGTGCATAAATAACAAAGGGAAAATACCTCAGGTTCCATAGCAATCTGCAAACGGCGCATGAAAAGAAGACCTCCTCCGTTGCAGAAAAGTTGGAAATGAGGATGTTAAAATCCAAAAATATTCAATGCCTGATGCAGAATAGATTTCAGCTACATAAAAGTCAATAAACTCAATATATCTCGATAATCTACCCTATTATATTATCCGGAGGAGATACTAAAACAAATATAAAAGTGAATTCCAGGTTTTCTATGGACAGCAGTGGATTGGTCTCACCCTACACATAACCCAACAAATTGCTCTCTATAATCAAAGTAAAAGCAGTTGATTGCACATACCCTTGACCTTCTTCATCTTGGATAAAAAGACAGCGCCATCGACCGGCTCCAAAGGTGGTGGTTGATTGATACGAATCCACCAATCCATAGATTACTGAGGCCTTGAGGAGGCCGCGGCATACCTCACAAAACTAAGCTACAATCATTTCCAATTTCTAAGGGCGCCCTCAATGCCTCCAGGCTCCAACAGTTTGCTTTCTGGTATTTTACACCATACTAATATAATATATAGCCTGGAGATCGTCCAATATGCGAGAGTTGATAATAAGCTGAAGAAGGAAATCAGGATCCTTTCTTCTTTTGGTCTTTCAATGGTTTAACCTCCTTTGTGAACATCCGTGGCGCTATTGCCATAGCCATAAGCTCTTGGAAGAGAAGCTTACAGGCATAAGGGATATAAACCTGCATGCACCCACATAAAGTAAATAATAAAATAACAGTGTGAGCATGTAAAAAAGTAAATGCAACCCGTAACGTATTTAAATATCTGCATAAAGACATTAAGACGTTGGTCTAAATATCACCTGAACGATGTCCGTTTTGTTTTTACATCCCCTACATTCGAAGGAACTCTTCTTGAGATTTGCAATGGCTATCAATCCGCAGCACTCACAGACATGGATCCTATATGCATCACTTTGATCGAACAACCTCTCCTTAAGAAAGTGAGCAGCACCATGGGCAATCATGCAGTCACGCTCCATCTCCCCAAATCGGAGACCACCATCACGTGACCGACCCTCAGCAGGTTGTCTCGTAAGGATCTGCACAGGACCCCTTCCACGTGAATGTATTTTGTCATCAACCATATGCTTCAACCTTTGGTAGTAGGTAGGACCAAGGAATATCATTGCTGAGAGCCGCCGGCCTGTATGGCCATTATACATGGTTTCAAATCCACGCATCTGATAACCACACTTGTGCAGAGCCTTACTGATGTTATCCACCTGATCGAACAAACGACAATCATAAATTAGCTCTTTGAAAGCAAACTCAGACAGTCAACATCATACAGAAAGATGTGCCCTAAAACTGGCCTGGAGAAGATGTGGTAAAAGATTACTGGAATAATTTAGAAAGAAATGTAGTTAAACAAAAATCATTCCATCACCAAAAATCATCATAAAAATTGCAATTCTCGAGGACTCAAACACAACTTACAGTGACATCAGTAAATGGGGTAGCATCTCCTTCTTTTCCCATGTGGGCTGCCACCTTCCCCATGATACACTCAATAAGCTGACCAATTGTCATCCGAGAAGGAATAGCATGTGGATTCACGATAATATCGGGGGTGATTCCTTCCACAGTCCAAGGCATGTCTTCTTGTGTGTAAGTCATTCCCACTGTCCCTTTTTGTCCATGTCGACTGCTGAACTTATCCCCAATCTGAGGTATTCGAACAGATCTCACCCTTACTTTTACAAACCTCAATCCATCAGCATTTGTAGTCAGTAGAACCTGCAAAAGACGTAAATAATTATGCATGCAATGTAGAAGATTAATTGTAAGTTACATAATGTTAAGAAGGAAAGAACCATGACAACAATTCAAAAAGAACGATGTAGGCTTTTTAAACAAAACTTACTTGATCTACAATCCCATTTTCACTATGACGTAAACTAATGCTATGATCACGTCTTGAGTAACGTGCAGCTTGTCCCTGAGCTTCTTCCTGAGAAATGGGAGTAGTCTTTCCAATAATAACGTCCTCACCAGATACTCGAGTACCCTGAAGCACAACAGTGCCACAATCAAATTCAATCAAGTAAGAGACAAAAATGCACTACAACCGAATTCAATAGTGTGATGAAAGCAACTGTTTTGATCACTAAAAAAAGCGAAGAAAATAGTCAAAAGAAAATGCATGAGTTTTATACATACAGGTGGTGCAAGACCATCGTCATCTAATTTATCATAGGAGCCATGCCTCATACCCTGCAAAAGAAGATACTCATGTTTAGCTTAAATTTTGAAATGGTTAAAATCATTTTTTGTTCAAATAACCCCAATACAGGTCTTTAATTTAGTAATCGATTTTACACTTTCAGATAAAAATTTCATACAATTAATAAAACTGATTTTGAAACATTAAATGCATGTTTCAAAATGATTTTGACAAAAGTGATTTTATATATTTTAAAATCATTCTCAAACATGCTCTAAGTTCTCACCATAGTATTAGTCCTGTCAGGCCGTCCAAAATCTTCTTTTACAAGAGTTCCCATCTTTTTCTCCTCATCCCTGAAGATGGACGGTGTACAAGCATAGTCATTAAGAAAATACCGAAATAGATACATGCATACAAAATTAAGGATCTGGGAGGGATGAAATTACCTGTAAGACCGGAAGAAAAGTGACCTAAAAAATCCACGGTCAATAGAGGATTGATTCATGATCACAGAATCTTCCTGGTTATAACCAGAGTAGCAAGCGATGGCAACAATGGCATTCTACGACATCAGAAACAAAAGAGAATGAGAAGATATGCATGGAAAACCAAGAGTAAATTTTCTAAAAGAATCATATTTCAAACATACAATGCCAGCTGGAAGCTGCCTGAAATGGAGATGCTCCATGGCTCGTGTAGTAACAAGAGGCTTTTGTGGATAATACAAAACATAGGCCAAAGTATCCTAAATAAAAACCCAGAAAATTATTTGGTTAAATTGACAATGGGGAAGAACCTTGAATGATGAATTTACTTTAACAGGAAATAGAGTATACCATTCGGAATTGGTAGTTGGTGACATAGATTCCCATAGCTTGCTTACCCATAGCAGATTGATACGTGTTACGTGGGGACTAAATATACCACACATGGATCAGTGAGAGAGAAAGATCAACATGAAACTACATTGCAGTGTCAAAACTGACAAACCTGGTTATGGTCGGGAAATGGAATAATTGAAGCACAAACGCCCAAAATCAATGATGGATGGATTTCACAATGAGTATAGGTGTCAGAATAAGCCTCAACCGGGTTGACCCTTGCTTGTATAAGATCCTGATTTATTTTCAAAAGATCTTTTAAGTTCTTTTTTTTCTTTTCTTCTGGTAAATTATCATCAGTCTAGCAAATAGATTTATTGTTCACTCACACTAATTGTCATGGAAATCATGGTGGTTTCCTCTTCCTCCGTGTCTATGTATTCAATGAATCCCTTTGCTACAAGATCATGCCAACCACCGTCTTCAGGGGATTCCTGTCATCAGAAATCATAAACGCATTAAAAGCAATAAGAATAAAGAAAGATATCGAGAGTTTATCACTCACCCTTTGCTGAAGAGCATGGATATCCTTCTTCTTTATGAGAAGCCTTTGTTTCTCAACAATGAATAATGGACGACTGCAACGGCCATAATCAGTATATATCCGTAGTTCTTTCAAGCGGACATCTCTAACTACTCCAACTTCAGTATTTACATCAACCTAGGCCCAAAAATTAGCTGTGATTAAAATCCATAATAAGTTACAAAATAGAACATAAACACCCCTACATGTTCAACAGTCCGTAGAAACTCAAATGTTAAAACATCTTCAGTTTACAAGAAATGTTTTAT